TACTATAAATGTTTCAATTGTAACTAAATATTATTGTAAAAAAAAGAATAAAACTTATTTCTCACAGCCAAAATATTGCAAAGGCAATCATCGATTATTTAAGTATCTAAATTAATAAACAAAAAAGTATTCAATTTATACGTATTATTATTTAAAAAAGACTTTATTGCTTCTAATATAAATAACTTATATCTTAAATAAGATAAAATCACTATTTAACGAAATATCTGTTTAGTTATATTAAATTAAATAATAACAATCTGGTTTGAGAATTATTTCACGACGAAAAGATTTGGTCTCAATCATCATTACAACATCCAGAAGCATCATTCAGAGAAGCACACGTTACAGAGTTTCAACCTAATAAATATTACATTCATATAGGAGCGTATTACGGACACAGACACGCACACAACACAAGTACACACGCACGTATTATACATTGATATTTATAGAAGAATCAGATGAGCTATACTTTTCTTGTATTTTCGAAGTCGGATTTGTAGTTTCTTCTTTAGCAGTAGTTACGCAAACACTTCTCACAGACACTCGAGCTACGCCCAAGCTCGTTCAATAGATCACCGAACATGTAAATGAAATTTGTCAGAATTACTTGCTTGCTGTAAATATTTACGCAGCTCAAGACACGATGAGGAGAATAAGAATATTATAGAAAAATTTGAGAACAACAAAAAATGAATCAAATGGTTGCCGATGAAGTTAAGAATGTTTAAATATTTTGCTCTTATTTCTTCTATATCTAATTTTTATCTCTAAGCGATTACAGTACAAAACCAACTGGAAAAGGCGCCGATAAGGTAAGCAAGGCAATAATTTTAGATATGTGTATCTTAAATAATTTTAAATATATGGTTAAAAAATTCTATAGAATTATTATTATGAAATCTTCAAGTCATTTTTGAAAGAATATTGTTATATAAATGTCTTTTATACATTTTTCCTCCTATTTGATATGAGAAGTCCTGAATAACAGAATTTTTTTTAACTCAGGATCTGCTTTAATATTATATTAAAGAAAGGTATATTGCGTAATGTTTCATACTTTAACTGCGCGATTTTTTGCATTTTGAATCTTGATTCTTCCTCGTAGTTTGCTTGACTTTCAATTCTTACTCTTCATGGTGTCTTGGCTTTGATTATGGTTGCTCGTGTACAGAATCGTGTACAGACAATTATACTTCTGACTTGCATCTGTTACGATGGAGGATGTGTCGGAGCTGTTTAGCGAGCTTCGGGGTAGTAAAATCGAATATTGGCCGGGAGCGATGTGATCACTTTGCTAATCGATTCTTTCGACTGTTCCCGCGGGCAGAACTTCTTCAAGGACGCCTGGAACACTTTCGACTTCATCACGGTGATCGGCAGCATCGTGGACGCCCTTGTGATCGAGTTCGGGGTACGTAGAGCACCGACAAGTAGCGGTAAACAAAGTCTAAGTGTGTTAATTGCGCTCTAGCTACGAAAACCCGTAATAGAACTCTTCCAGGTATATGCACCTTTGATCGGGCACCTCTCAGGAAACCCGAGACTAGGCTGTGATTTTAAAATCGCCGCTTGCTCTGACGAAAAGTCATGCCAATGAAATTACGCCGAATGTCGAAATTGATTTTGCACATTGATGCAAATAAAGGCGGTGTGATAACGTGAAGGAAACGATGAAATAGAAATTTATATATTGATGCATTTGTGCGAGATATAATTCTGTAAAAAATTACAACCTAATTAATTGCCTAAGTATTTTAATAAAGCAATATCAAGTTAAAAATCAAAGATTAAAGATTTGAGGCTTGAAAGTTATATGAAAAAGTTGAAATTTAAGAATTTATTCTTATTTAAAAATTATATTTTTGAGATTTTTGAATATACTCATTCTAAAGCTAATGGATGAAATTTGTTTTTGGCAATGCTCGCATACTAAACCGCCTCGAGTTGCTTCAATGTACAAAATGGATTCCGGCGTTGAAAAACGAATTCATCGGAATGCGCTTTTCGTCGGAACACGCGTCTATAATAGTGGCCCTTAATCGTCGCGGCAGTGTTGCTTGATGTGTACCTTTGCCTTTCGTTTAACCCTTTTGCTGCTTACTTAGATTCGCCGTATAACCATGTGACAAGCTAGCAGGTAAATTACGACAACCGAAGTATACCTCGAATACCTTTGCGTATCTTCTAGCTTCGTGCTGCATTCATACGCTAACATACATTACACTGTACATCGTCACATTCGCATAGTATACATTGACGAAGTATAGTAAAAACATTTAAGCTACTTACATACACATGTATTCCTGATATATATATATGTATATATATATATCGATCCTGTCCGTTCTTCGTATTAGAAATGTTCCTTCTTATATATCGATACTAGATTTAATCAATGTCAACCGTAGTTTGGAAGTAGGAAGAGGAGGAAATATCGTATAGGATATTTACTCACCGTCTCCCGAATCACACAAAATGGCATTGGTTATTTTACTTCCACTGATGTAGCATTTTACAATCTAGTCGATATGATATATGTATACGAATAATTGAAATGTAAATCGAAGGAATATCCAGTAAAAGTTTGTGGCGAAGTCTGTATATCTGTTGCTTGCGCTTGCAAAATATTCTCGGTATAAAAATATTGTCTTAGAAGTGCAGGTAAGAGAATAGTTAGAGTGATCATATAAAGTGAGTATTGGTCTCTCCTTGATATTTTCTTTCTTCTTTTTTTTTTTATTTAAATGAGCTGCTTACGAAGTTACTCATCGCCAGTGTTAGTTTATATCTCTGTCTTTATTGTGATTGCCAAAAGTTGAACGATCTCTCAAAAATTGAATATTAGGAATGGAATAATCTCGCAATCTCGCATATTTCTGTAATAGGAGCGGTACGTGCCTAGTGGTGGCCAGCTAGGAGAAAAGAAGGTATAAAATTACTATGCAATTTTTGCATTGGCGACGTAAGTTGGCAGAAAATTATTGAATTAATATATGAACGTTGCAACTCTGAATTTAATTTCTACGTAGAAGTCAAAAGACAAATCTTTCCTTGTGTGAAACTCTCCTCCGAAAAGATACAATTATTATTTGAAACATAGATATTTTTATATTTTATTATCGTTTATTGGACTCTTATTAGCGACAGCTGTGGATAAATTTGGCGAATGAGAAGTGACGTGATTTTGTTTACTCGCAAGCGAGAAAAGAGCCGGGCGCAACAAGTAGTGATTTTCTTCAGGATCTCCGAGTCTTATCTTTAGATCAAGATCATTCTTATCCCGTTTACTTATCCCGTGCATGTACTTTTCTATACAATACATAAATTATTCGTACATCACACTAACAGTCTCGAACATTTTACAACACTGACATCACCAGTCCAGATAGTTGTTACACTGTAGTTACACTACAGATCATATACTTTAATGGCATATGGATGCGGTGTCTCGGGTTTTTTTTTTATTTATCTCTAAAATCTTGATAAACTTTGCTGCGATCTTGATAAATCGTTTTATTAATCGTTTATTGATCTCATTCTCGAAGAAACGAAGATTCTCATCTTCGTTTTCATCGATTGATTAATTATTAATCGTCTTTACGACGTGACAGTCGGACATGATTCGACCGTTTCAGCAAAAGGGTTTTCCAACATAATTACGTTTCTATCGCGTAGTTACGTTGGAATTAAATAATCCAAATAATTCGATTACTAAAGAAAAAGTAATATTTTGTGATTATAATTGAATTAAAAATTATTGTGATGTATAAATTCTCCCAAAAACTTACGTTCGTACAAAAATTACTTGAATAATTTGCACAGACAGAAATAATCTTCAGTGAAACGCCATTAGTTTAGTCTACCGACAACAAAAATACAACTAGTTAAGTGTTAAAAATTTATTTTATTTATTTTTATGAACAAATTAACGATTATTAGTGATTATCTCAGTTATTAGTGATCCATCTTAGTTCTATTTCTACTTTCAGCAGTGATATTGCATCTTTAAGACCCCTCTTAAATTTTCTCAAAGTCAAATCTTAACCGCTGACCTAATTCTTATAATCGCGCGTAAAGACTCGTCCACTCTGTGGCTTCGTTCGTGCATCGCCGAGGTAGAACAAGACGCGCCGAAAGGATCAAGATCCTTGACGCGTCGTACGCAATCCCGAAACGTTGCACGCACGAAGCTTTGTTCTGGCGCGCGATAAAAAGTCGACATTTTGTTGGGTTAAGTGCAATTTTCTCTGTCCCCTGCAGGAGAACTTCATCAACGTCGGCTTCCTGAGGCTCTTTCGTGCCGCCAGGTTGATCAAATTGCTCAGGCAAGGATACACGATACGAATTTTACTGTGGACCTTCGTACAATCCTTCAAAGTAAGCACGTCCTGCTGAACTACGCAACTTTGATCTTTCTTTATCATAGATTCGCATTATCTTCGTGTACGCGCATTAATCAATTGTAGCTATTATTTCCTTGCTCGTTAAAAATTTAATGTTGTTTATTGTCAATTTCTGCAATTGTTAATAATTATTTAGATAACGAGATATGCGATAATAAAAAAATTGTCTCCTTTCAGGCTCTGCCTTACGTTTGTCTCCTCATAGCGATGCTATTCTTCATCTACGCGATCATCGGTATGCAGGTACGAATTGTCTTCCATTGCGGAAGATTTTTTAAATAGAATTAATATAATTTTTTTACGGGAAGTTCCTAAATAAACGTTTTGGCGGATGACGCATAGAAGATTGCAGGATTAAAATGACAACCATTCAAGAAATTAGTTGATCGATAAGCACTCGTCGAAATTGGTTCGTCAATTTTGGATGGATTATAGTAGAAATAGATACAAACCGAATATAATTAAATAGACACGGATTATAGAAAAATCTCAAGTACGTAAAAAATTTTGTACAGAGAAAAAATTATGATAATTAATTAAAAACGCTCACGATTAGTCAATGATCTTCAAGATCGACGCCAAGCTACGAAATTGCTGTCGTTAATATCATCTAGATAATTGTTGCTACGAAAGCTTGTAATTCCAACCTCGGGAGAAAATTGGCGTGTCAAGATAAACTCGTAGTTTTCGGCACGCGTGACCTTGCAGATTGGGAATTTCAAGTGATAGACAGCAGATCCCATTAAGTGACCCTAAAATTGTCCGTTGTCAGGTCTTTGGCAATATATCGAACGATCCGGAAACGGCGATCGATGATCACAACAACTTTCAGTCCTTCTTCGCCGGTCTTATGTTGCTTTTTCGGTGAGTCGAGCAGCTAAGATTGATCGCCGGTTCGACGGCATTGAGTGAGATAACCTCCAATCAGCGGCTAATCCAACTGTCGTTTCCCTTTCGTACAAAAAAAAAAAAGAAAAATAATTCTTAAAGTAGCGCTTTATATTTTTTATTTTCAATTTTTTTCCAATTGAGGAAGAAATCATTCACTTGTCTTCCACAGCATTTTCTTTGTACGCGAGGGAAACCTTTTTTGGAGCACACCTCGTCTGTCATCGCGATCTTTCCCGATGCTTCGTATATGAAGGGAGTTTATGACGTTACAAGACGCGAGCATGGAAGATTTTGATCTCTATCGGTTGTATGTGGGAGGAATTATGTTAAATGTACCTTGATGTGATCTCGCTTCTGACAAAATAGAAAAGTGAATCTGTACGAGACGTACCGATCGCTGTCCGGCGAGCGAAGCACCGTTAAAGATCCCGCGCGACGCAGACGGGAGAGAACGCCGTCGAACTCAGTGCGAAGAGTTGAACGAAATACATAAAAGTGTGGTTGTCGTGAAAGATTACCTCTACGGTAGAGTATTGCTTTGTTGGCATGAGCTGTAACGAGAGTAAGCTGCTCGACATGTTAATCTGTTGTGACTCACCCCCACAGTTAGTGACAATTTTATAGAGAAGTCTATTCCACATAGTGATGCCTGCGTTAGAGTCTTGAAGTTACGATTAAGGTCGTGCTTGAGAGAATAATTTTCACGAAAAAAATATTATCAATGAGAGCATTTTATTTCTATTGCAAATGTTTATCATAAACTTGTGTAAGAATGGCTCCAGCGTTAAATTCGAGAAGATTTGAGTCAAAATTGAAAGAGTAAATTTATAATAATAATTTTAAGAAAGCGTATTGAAATAATTGAGTTACTCGTTTCAAGAAGAATTGTCTTTGATTCTCTCGAGTGCACCGTGTATTCTTGTTGAAAAAGTTGAAAAAGTATGAGAGGTTGTAGTTTAGAGAGTATTGAATACCATAATACTCATTACATACACAAAAACCGCGATCGAAGCGATACAAAAAGTCGAAATAGTGGTCATCGCGAAAAGGAAAGCAGAGGACATATTTCGATTACTTTGTTTTCTTGTTCGACTTTCTATTATTATTTTTTTTTTAATACACACACACACTTGGTGACGCAAGTTTGTAATGCCGCTCGTGCCCTTTGGCCGCGGACCTTCTTCTTTCTGTGGGTCTCAGGTATTCGGTAACATCGCGCTGGATCCTGAGTCTTCTATTACTAAGCACAACAATTTCCAAAGCTTCATACAAGGTCTGATGCTGCTTTTTCGGTAAGTAATACCACACCACCAGAGGAATCTATCTAACTGTTTAGCCACTGAACTTGGCCATGCGATTATGCGCGCGATTTGCGAGACGATCGAACGAGCTTTCACGCTCACCACCTGCGGCAAGCTACTTATCACAATTTTTTTACGATTTGCGAAAATACGATGCAGAAGACGATCCAAATTTTAGCGGACGGTGATGCAAAAACAAGATCCTTAGAGATGTCTATAAAATCAATTAAAGTTGTATTGAAAAATGACATTAGTCATATATTTTGGTAATTTTGGCAAATTTTGATAACTTTTATTGCAATTTCTTGTGTGAAAAAATTTTCAAGATTAACTTCTCTAAAACATATTTCCAAATAATATAATATAATTTAATTATATCAAAATTGAATTTTAAAAAATCTCAGTATCAATATAAAATTCAATCTAGAATATAAATATTAATGTTGTATTTAAAAAATACTAATAATTTTCAAAGTATATATCATTTTTGCGTCGAACGTTCTAATGATAACGACACCGCGCGGAGTCTTCTCTAATCGGAGTCTTCTTCTAACCGCTTAATTCATATTATTTCCGAGTGTATGTTCACAGCAGGCCTTTTCGCTTCGATCCAACTACGTATTATTGTAAAGTTTCTTGGCACTAAATCGAGCACAAAAGCAGAATCAAGCTAAACGACACAGCCTAACCAGAGCAAACAAAATATCACACAACAGAGCCTTGTATAGAATTGAGTTTGCCGTATTGAGTTCGCAGTATCTAGATCGCTTTCCATGTCGCATAAAGTGTCGGGCCTTATGCATGCCGCGCTTGCAAAACGTCTGGGCCCAATTACTTGCCCTCTTCAGTCTTGTAAAGAAAAATATTTAAAAAATTATTAACATCATCAGCATCAAGTTTCGAGTGAATTTAATATGGAAAGGTAATTAATAGAATTTTGAAGACTGATAAGATTATGGCAATTGAACCCAACGTGTGCCGCAAAAAATGCCGCGTGTCGTGTCGCCAGAGTATCGCACAAATTTTTGTAAAGCAAGCCTTTTCTTTGCAATTGCAAGAATCTGCTGCATCAAAAGTATTTAATGTGGGGTTGTTTATAGTACAAGAAAATATGTCGTAGTTGGGGAAAATATCTACGAGACAAATCCATCGCGCTCTAACTTACTGTCCAACTTTCTAACAAGACAAAATAAGACAAATGTGTCTTTTAGTAACTTGAGTTCAAATCGAAAACTTGTAACTTTTTCAAAAACATGATTTTAGCATATCTAGCCACTTGAATTACTCTAAAAAATTGACACTGAGAGAGTTACTATTTTCAACCAGAACTACTTCATAGAATTTTCAAATTTCTTGACATAATTATATCAAAAGTGGATTTGTGCTCAGTCGCATCTGTTCCCAAATATAAATCGTTATAACTTCCATAGTAATTTCATGATAATCTCGTTGAGTGTTTAGTATCACTCAGAGTTTAGAGTTGAAAAACCTGCATGCAATTGGGAATAATAGCAGCTTGGTGCAAGCGACGCGCTAGATGCGCTGAAGCATTCGCTCTCGTTCAAATCGACAGACGAGTGAGAAAGAGAAGGGCAAAGGCGTCGTCATGCTCAAGAAGCGATTTTCTCAGGTGTGCCACGGGCGAGGCCTGGCCGAACATCATGCTGTCCTGCGTAAAGGGTCGTCCTTGCGACCCGAAGGCCGACAAGGACGCGGACGGCTGCGGCTCCAACATCGCCTACGCGTACTTCGTGTCATTCATCTTCTTCTGCTCGTTTCTCATGCTGAATCTCTTCGTCGCCGTCATCATGGACAACTTCGATTACCTCACGCGTGACTCGTCGATCCTGGGCGCCCATCATCTCGACGAGTTCGTTCGGATCTGGGCCGAGTACGATCCGAACGCTACCGGCAAAATCCACTACACGGAGATGTACGACATGCTGAAGAACATGGACCCGCCGTTGGGGTTTGGCAACAAATGCCCGAATCGGCTCGCGTACAAGAAGCTCATCAGGATGAATATGCCGGTGGACGGTGATGGCAAGGTGAACTTCACCACCACGCTGTTCGCCCTGATTCGCGAGAATCTTAGCATAAAAATGCGATGCGGTGAGTTCGCCCGAAAAAAGTACAAGTAGCTTATCGATTATAAATACCAAGACATGTGCGATCTTTTTTTTTTCACATGTATAATACGGAAAAATTGTTGGAAAGACTCAATTTTTTACTATTAAAGAAACTTGATTTCTTTAGCTCATTAAATATTTTTCATTGTTTGAACTTTAGTCTGGCAATTAATTACGCGTTGAGTGAATAATTTCGATCCCGGTTTGTCGTTCTAGCCGACGAAATGAATCAAGCTAATGACGAACTGCGGGACACGGTCAGGAGTATCTGGCCTTTACAAGCGAAAAAGATGTTGGACCTTTTGATACCTAGGAACGAAGGTAAGTCGCTCTTTTTCTTTTTGAGACGGAGGCATTCTACATTTTTGATTTTTTTCCCTTCTAGAGTTGAACAGAGATAAGCTCACCGTGGGTAAGATATACGTCTGCCTTCTGATACTCGAAAGCTGGAGGTCGACGAAGTTTGGTCAGCTAAAGTCTATCGAACAGGTGAGTCTCTTCTATCGAGCAGAATCTAAATTATTCGTAAGAACAATGGCAGATCCTAGAGACTGAAAATTACCACGTGATTCTGCAATCGTGATTCTCTTACACGAATTCCATTCGTTTCTGCTGCGCTAAACAAATTAATCGAGAGTGATCTCATATTTATGTGAATTTTTTTAAAAATCTTTCTAAACTTTTGCGGCAGAAGAAACGAATTGGAAAATCGGAACTGAGGATCTCGGTTGAGAATGGAGTTCGAATGAATGTTTGTCGTTGGCTTCTTCATAATAGGACACGTGCGCGAGTAAAATTTCGAATAGAGAATTTTTCAGAGATTTCCCATGTAGTCTTATAGGTCGTCATGAAACTTTTTCGTGTATAGATAGAGATAGTTCTGATAGATGGAGATACTGAAGTCAATTTTTGTTAATTTGTTAGAATCTGTCAAATTAGATATAAGTCAATTTCGATGTTTAATAAAAAATTAAAAAAGAAATTGATTTTAAATTCGTTGGAGGATAAAAAATTTTTATAATATATAAAAGAATTATCTTTTCGACTTGTAGTTTCTTGAAATTTCACGGGGCAACAAGTCGAAACATCAAGTTAATAACACGAAAGAAATACAGTCTCTCTCTATTTCAATTAGATAAGTCAATGTGTGTAGAAACAGTTGGATGTAACTGGAATATTATGATTCGAAATTCATGCAAGAGTAATTGACATTAGATTATACAACTGCCGATCTATCAACTGCTGTTAGTTATCAACGAGGAGATTGCTAGCACTTGAAAGATATTAAAAATCAGTTTTTTTTCTCTCAAAAGTTTCGCAGTCGATAGATCGACTGGACAGCGGCGTTTGTCTGTCATAGATAGCTCTGAAAATTCTGAATGGATTTCAATTGTTATAGATTACTAGATAACAGGACACGATTTTTACTGTTTACCAAAGACCTCTAGAACGAGAGAATAATGATGAATTCTTGAGCGACTAGAGGGATAGTAATTAACACAGATATACTTAATTTATCAACCGTGCTCCTTTTTATTTTTAAATATATCCGAATCGAAGGATATTCACGCAACTCTCAATCATCTTCTTGTGTCTTTTCTCTTTGTTTTCCAGAACGATAACGATCTTATCGATAACGATAATGCTGGGCAAAGTCCTGCAGCCCAGGCGGTAGTACTTACTTTTTCTCTTATTATCTTCTCTTAACACTGTTTTCGTTTTAATTTGGCTGTACGTTTGCGTTCGAATTTTAACCACACTTGTTCGTTTTTGTGTTAAGTGCGTACTGCAAAAGTTTCCCGGTCTCTTTATCTCGCTCGCCGTTCTAACACTTTTACGAAGGTAACTTTATTATCTCGCGAGGGACGCAAAGGGTCTTTTGCAGCGTACGCTCTACTTTTTTCTCGTAAACTAACACTTTTTTTCACGGTAAATTTTTCTCCACTCTCACACATATTAGCCAGGGGCATACTATATGATATTGCATGCATCGTATATAAGGTGTCTCACGTAACCCGATTTACGTCTTAAAAAATGTATTAGACGCAGAAAGAATGTTATAGAAAAAAATCAATTTAATTTGCAAAACGTTTAAACGGTTAAATTATTTTTTCCTCGTAATATTACTTCCTGTCTCTCATGCAGTTTAAACGACAGAATCTTTACGTGAAACACTCTGTATAGAAGAAAAAGTTTACAAATTGAATGTTTCTATTTTCCGTTACATGATAAGGCTCTACATGCCTATTGTGCCTCTGGTACGTCTTTTTTCTACAATTAACACAGCACACAATTTTTCTTATCACTCTTCACACGTGTACATTTATTTTTGGTCTCTCTTTTGTTTGTGTACCGTAGCCTTTTGTTTGTCACTAATTAATTACATCACACATTTGCGGGCGAAACAGCCATGTCACCGATAGCATCAAAATTTATTAATATTTAAATATAAATAAAAATAAAATATAGATTTTATTCTTCAGTAAATTTTTAGAATAAATTTTTAATCGTAGAATTTCAATGTAAGATTATTATTGCGACATTTAAGACGAAAATTTGAAATCAAAAGAAAACATTATTATCAAAGTGCAATTATTCTTAAAATACATTTTCATATTTTCACACTTTGAAGCGTGAGCTCATAAAATTTAAAATTTGAATAATGCAAGATGTGGAATAACTAACGATAAGAATCAACAAGAAACGATGGCTGTTGCGCAAACGGTGAACTAACACGGCAATACACTTTAGTCTATCTTTTACTTATTTAGGCACTTAACATGTTAGAAACGTACTTAATAGATCTTTATAATCAGGCTCATACACGAACTAGTCTTTAGATACTTAGTGCCTTTCTTTGTGGAGAGGATTTTTTTTTCCTTTTTTCTAATCGCACGTTTCCTCTCACCAAGCTAGTTTAGGATAACGTCGAAGAATAGCTCTTATCCCGATCTATATATCACAAAGGGGACGACAGTTCTCTTTCTCTGTCCAACTTTCGGCGCGGCCCGATGCTGGACCCGTGAAGTGATATATACGATTGTGTAATACACGTTATCAGAGTTGTTTTAGTCGTGTTGTTGCCGACACGCGGATAACACGTGGCCACGTACGTACGTGTCCGCGCGTGTAGATATATCGGCTCTTTGTCGACCGGCAATACGATATAGCGCGCTGTGTGTAAGTAAATCACCTCATAGAGCTCCGTTTCTCGGACCTATGTAGTGCGAAAAGTAGTCCGACGAGCCGATTGATTCTCGGAGCGTATATATAGTCCGCCTTTTGCCTCAATTTCTACAATATAATCGCCTCTTTTAGATTACACTCTTCTCTCGCCAAGCAAGCCTTTTTTTCGACCAATTCTAAACATCTATAGTTGGCGATAGCCTAAGTCGCGACGTAGAAACTTCCTTTTCATTCTGCCGAACTATCGTTTTGCTCACGAGCGTGTAACGAACTTTTCTCTCCTTTATTTAGTTTGATGCGAGCCTCTCAAAGTAGTAGAAATTGGAGTTACATTGCCCTTGTAAGCGGTTTAACTTCGCACTCGCTGCAGGCTCAAGTGAGCTTAAATCCTCGGATGAACGGCGTAATGCGATAAAAATTATTAGAAAAATAATAAATACTTGGCAATCGAGAGATTATTAGAAAATGGCAATTTGTACAATTTTATTAGAAAGTTATTGCGTTGTGCCGTTTAGAGGAAGATACCGATTGCTTGATCTTAGCGAGAAAATAGATTCTGGGATCATCTAATATCTGAATGAGTAACTTCGGATGCAAATTTCGTGAAACTTGAGAGCTTAGATACTAGATCATCCTGAAGATATCTTTTCTTTCATGGCGCGAAGTTAATGCGGCGACTGATAATGACGCTCCCGCTAGCCTAATGCTGAAAAGCATCCTTCTTTTTTTTTCTTATTTCATACAAATTTTACCGCAGTAGTGTAGAGGAAGATAATACTTAGGCACTTTTTAATCAGTGACGTTACAGCAGTAGACTCATAGCCTTGCCCGATTTATCCGATCGCTTTCTACTAGAACAGTTTACCGCTTTCTACTAGAGCAATTCTCCGCTCTGTCAATTACACGTGTGACACTATTTGACACTCTCTATATACTTTATTCACACGAACACGTGTTAAGCGCGCACTGACACACACCGATACAAGATGAATTAGCCTTAACGACTTTTTAATATGAATTAAACATCTTTTACGGTGTAATAATTTGTTCAATAAATAAGCCACTTCGTACGAATTCCGATGAATTGCTCTTTTACAAATGATCGAAATTGCAACCAACCGGAAGTTCAAAAAAAAAAAAAATACGTAGTAAAATATTGATAATTATTTCCTCTCGTGGCAAGCAATTCGTAGCTCGATAGATAAAGAACGAATCTATACTCGCATCTCTTGCATTTCTAAGTGTCTATCGATAGATACTCCCATTTTACGATTTAGCACTTGAAAACTCACCGACGTATACAGGATATCTCAAAAGTGATGGTTGTCCTAATAACCTTTGTTGAAAAATTTTTTCAACTTTATGTAATCGACAAAAAAAAATTAAAACATGCACCAATGATTTTGGGATATCTCGTATAGCGGCATGTTCCAGATTCCTTATATAACCTTGAAGAATACTTTTATTACAAACCCGTCTTTTTGCATATCAAGCAGCAGAGAGTTTCAATTTTGCCCACGATTATTTGGCATATTTGTATGATCTTTGCGGCGTGAATTACTCGTGTTCTACCTCGCGATATTCTTACGGCGCCAGTTTACGGCGCCAGTTTACGGCGCTAAATGTTTGCGCAAAAACTGTTGATGATTTGCGATGATTGTATTAAGTGAAACGACGCGCGCAGCCGGTAGAACATCGAGACTTCACCCGTTCTGTGCATGCTTACTGACAATTGCATTTTTGCAGTACTCTTACATTTCCGAAACGATTAACCGCGTTTTATTAACGTATTTGTTGTTCACTTATATAACACTTTCGATGGAGAAGGGAAATATTTCTCTATTTTTTTTCTCTTTTTGTATATGTAACATAGTCTCGAATCAACATATACAGGCTTTGCGATGCAGTATACTCTTATATACGAATTTCTCTCGCTGCAATTACCGTTTGCGCTACTATTTTGTAATTTTTGCATCACACACGCTCTCTCGAGCGTCCTCAGTAGAGACGAAAGAGTCGTCCGTAATACCGACACAAGTAAAAACCGCACCATCACGACATGTCTTTTCTCTAGCATGTGGCCGCCTCTTTACTCTGAGAATTTTTTCTCACCATTTTTTACACTATTGATTCTCGACTTTGAATGCTTCCGATCTTTATAAACGTTTCGCATTCTGCCACGATTTTTCGAGAGACCACCGACGAGAGGTAACGCTAAGAAAAAAGCCTGTATGTGCCTGTACGTAGTTTATTAATATACCGAGGAAACTAAAAAAAAAAAAAAACAAACAAAAAAAATGGAGAAACATAAAAGCGTAAAAAAAAAAGAAAGCAATTGTTGATCGAAAACCAAGACTCCTGTCGATCAGCTCTGATAGCCGGTGTGCTTTCGCACGTTTCGCAATTTAGTCTTCGGCCTTCCTCAACTGCCTGCTGGACATGGCGGCGGTAAATCACACCGGAAATAATCACGGAGCTGGAAGTAGGGCGAACAGCCTCGAACCGGTGATACGACCGGCCACGGACGCGAAGCTCGAACGCCACAAAGATCAGAGGGATGAGGAGGATGGAATCATGGGCGTCCTCGCAGCCGCCGAGCACAGACGTCAGCGTAGCATCAGGTACGCAGCCTACCGTTTGTCACAAATCAAGAGGCGATGAGAAAAGTCTCAATTTATAAATCACTTTCTCAAAACTGTAAACAATCTAGATATTCTCGAAAGACTTTCTTCGTGGTTTAATTATTCAAATAATTTTTTTTATTTACATGTTGAATATTAGACTTGCTTAATGGATGCTTCCCAAAGTTAGGATATCGCATGAGACGCAAATCTGTTTGATCATGTCCTCCTAATTTATTATGGAATACTCGAGTTCGGCGGTCGTTCTGCTTTCAGAAACAAAAAGGTGAACTGGAAGATGTCTCGCCAGTACGATATACTAGGCAGCAGCGGAGAGAGTAGCCAGGGAGGGGGTGGGTCTGGGGTTGTACTCGTAGTTAATGGCGAGGATCGCGCCCCCGAGCTAGAGCCATTGCTGGCCGAGGTGCCCTCCCAGCGGGATGATCAAAACAACTACTACCATCACCATCACGACCAATACTACTACGATACCGACAATGATCAATACTATGACCATCACCAATACTACCACCACCACCACCACCATCACCATCATGATCATCATGACCACCGACCACCCTCGTACTATCAACACCAGAACACCTACGTACCTCGCTCCTCGATCCGTTACCACAAGGTGTCGGCTCGATCCAAACTCAACAAAAATTCTCTTCCGGTTTACAAGAATGTCCTTCCCCCCTCTCTCTCTGACCCCTGTCGGAAGTAGATCGCGATAGAGAGCCGGAAAAGTCTATCCCTATGTTGTCTCTCGCTCGAAATGCAGTCGCGCACGAATCGCGATCCGATTCATCGCCGGTTGTAAAAGATATGTTTAGGCCTGTGTTTGTAGAAACCGCAAGATGTTTTGGAAGCGAAAAAGTATTTGTTTCTCTTTTGAAATATTTACTTTCCTTTTTTAAAACGTAAATTAACATTTTAAGATTTTTTAATTATTCTCTTCTTCAAGCTATAAAATCGATAGATTTTGTTTAAAAACGCGTCAATTTTTATTAAATAAATACAATTATAGATTTAAAGTTATTTAAGCTAAGTTATTTATATAAAGCACTTACTGTTTAAATCTAAGAAAATTGTTTTGGATTTTTTATTTAATTTAAAAAATGTTCAAATCTGTTGGTAAAAAGTAAGCAAAACAGAACATCTTGAACATCCAGAAACATCTTGTACGTAAATAGATCACGTAGATCGTTTTATTGTACCTGAAAACAAGTCTAGAGATTAGGACATTATCTCTTCTCGCGAATTTTCTTTGTTAGATCGATCTAAATGATTTTCTCTCGTACTTAGTATTAATTGTATAAATTATAAAGTATTTTTAGAGGATGTGATTTCCTCCTAGAGAATTCGTATTAAGATCTATATGAATGAAAAACTCCCTTAGTTGAAATCATAGGACTTCAGTTGTAGAATGAAATTAGAAGAATTTTCAAAAGAAAAATTAAACTTTCGTTAGACGAATTAAAAACATCTGTGTTCGGATTAGATTAGAACGAACTGTCTTAGATGAGTCGATCGACATTCTCCACTAACCCGACTTTCGATTTTTCCGATCCTAAAAAAAAAAGAAAAAAGAAAAATTGGAGAAGTATTCGCGGGTCGGAAAGTATTGCGCGTGATGTCGTGATCCTTAGCGCTCAAGATCGATTCGCAGCGGAGTCGGCGTCAGACACAGCGCGTGCTTTTACTACTTACGAACGCCAAGCGCCTTCACTCTTTTCACCGCTTGCCGAGAAATGTCGAATCGATCTTGATATGTTACTGGGTGTATTATTAGCGCTCCTGTAAATAATACTCACACCTAGATATACACACACACTCTAGCGCAAACGTCACGTAGAAGAATAGTCACGTGTCACCCGAGCGCTCTTTAGTGATTTCTCGTGTCGATGCATAGAACAGTTCCCACCCCCCTTTGTCCCTTGCTGCTTTCGGCCTTAGGATTATTGCTGGAGCAACGAAGCAGATCTCGCGACTGCCTCGTTCTCCTCCGTCTGTCATGTTTCTGTATTGATTCTTTGTGTCCACGTCCCGGTAAGTAAGAAAGCACCCGCGGGGCTGCCTCTCGACGGTAGTGGATATATCTTCCCTTTTTTTCTCCAAACGAACAATCGGGATTTATTAACAAGCATGTGCATGAGCGAGTCTTTTTTAACTGCATGCCGTTTAACACACGCGTACACATATGTATATAATCTCTGTGTGTGGACTACTCTCTTATATTCCGCCTTATCAATTTTCTCCTTTTCTGCATTTTCTGCGAAGCTAAGTATAACTTTGTTAGAGATAAAATACGCTTAGAACTACAAAGTGAAGTAGATCGCACGTATTAGATCAAAAATATAATTTTCCTTTTCTTCGAGAAATTAAATCGATGCAATTGTGACAGCAAGAGGCATTATTGCAACATTATGCGATGATAAAATTGATAGCTAACGCGTGAAATTTTACCAATGCTATTAATTTTATAAGCAAAAAATACGATCGTGTTATATTTATCCAGCAATTATTTTTCTATAAATAATTATAATCCAAACTTCAATTAATTATTTATAAATTTAATATCTCACTGAGAGAGCTATGTATTTAGCATTTCATTCTGTTTGACAATTCAAACGTGCGTCTGCTTTAGAATTTCGGAGACAAAAGGCGTCTCGAGTTACGACAGCTCCTTGTCCGGAGCGCGCGCGAATCGACAGCGCGATATTGCTAAAGACAAAGAACCGGCAACACCCCGACTCTCCCTTTGATTCCTAATCCAACCTCGATTTGCATGCGCAATTTGTTAAGTCGTAAGTCTGTTCTCGTTTAGGAGCTGCAAGACGTCGTACCGTCCGACTCGCGTGCCGGTAGCCTCGAGAGTCTCACGCATCCTGGTGACCGAGTCCTTCGTCCGCATCATCCCTCGGCGCCTCCACCGAGGCGTTCGCGATCGCCAAGTATAAGGTATCGGACCTCAGATATAAGCGAGAGTCTCCAAAACGTTGCACTTATTCATGAATTATTCAAAATACGTATGTATTTAGCTCTGAAGTATGTTAATTACAATTCAGTTTGTAATTCGGAAGGTATGAAATTCGAGAAAGTCCGCTTTAAATTGCAAAGCTTGATCTAGTGTGGTATATATTTGGAAAATTATTACAATTAAAAAGTCCAACCATGAAAAATTAAGGAAAAGAGTTAAAGGACATCTACGCCTTTACGCCATTATATTCAATCATTGCTAGATAAGGCTAGCGTATTGATTAACGAATTGTTGATGAGATCAATCGTGATTCTGCTTCATCGTTATTATAATTTGCAGAAGACACTCGCCAATAATGCCTAGATCGCCATCGCCAAGGCGACACGGTCGATACGACCATCACGGTCATTACCACGAAGGACCAGGGTTTAGCGACACCGTTAGCAACGTCGTCGAGATACAAAGGCACACAACAACACATCACCACGCATCACAGTATAATCATCGGCATAGGATACGAGGTACGACGTACCGGCGATAATTCCGACCAGCGAAAGCCACGACGGTGCAACGATAAGTCTTTTTCACGAAGCTGCGACCGCGAACTCTGTTTCGTACCGATCATCTCCAACCGGTTTTATCTTTCTCTCTTTCTATCTATCTCTACCTATCTATCTATCTATCTATCTATCTATCTATCTATCTATCTATCTATCTATCTCTATCTCTCTCTCTTTTTCTCTCTTTCTCTTTCTCTCTCGTTGTTTTTTATCAGCCTGGAATTTACGACACAGCATCTTTATACCTATCTACTCTATATATATCACCATATATACCACTAATACCTTCATTCTCTTGGTGTTACTTCCATTATAATTATTATTATTATTATTATTACTACCACTACTATTATTATTATTATTCATTATAATTATCTCCAGCCGGTTTGGTGATATTTGTTCTATTGTTTCGGAAACTACGACTGAAAATATTCATATCATTCATTATACTACTGAGAAAATTGTGAATATAATAGTAAATTATACTTGTTGGCGATCCATGAAAGCAACGAAAGAGAGTTCGTGGTCACGGTTTATAAGAACATGAATGTTGCTATAAGTGGTTTTACTCGTAAGAGGCAGGAAAGCTCAGTGTGATACTCGATGTAATACGTTTCTTCATTTTGTTCTGTTATGCGCCTACACAGATTATTACGACCACTGCGACTATTACGACGATGGTAATTTCTTTGGCAACTCTCTCCACTTCTTCAAACCCTTGTCCACGATGCAGTTATAATGTTACTACGTAATCGATACGATACGTTTGGCTTTCACCATTTCTTCGTTCCTGTTTGCGATAACACGAACACGCAAAAAAAATACACATCAAAACCAAACGCAAAAAACCAACACAGTAGACGTTCTCTCAAAACAACCAATGTGTACAATACCAACAGCACCGAATATTCCACATATATTCACGTCAGGAGTGTTTCTCTTCTTGTTTGCTACTCGATGCTTTTTATATTAGAAATGTTAGATTGCCAACTATCGATCAAGAGAATTGATGATTGGTATAAAGTTCCATTAGATCTTTCATTATTTGATCGCAATTTGTTAGTGTTATTTTTTAGCGTATTTAGTTTCTCGAGTACAATCTATTTTTATTTCGCGGACGGTTGACGTGGTGCATATGGTTCGAAAAATGCAACATGCACATGCAATTAATTTAGATTATAATTTTTTTTTTCTGTTTAGATTTAGCACGGACAATTAATTTAACATCTTGATTTTAAAACAGTTATACGACTGAATGTAATAATATTAAATATTTAGTTTGCAAAAACTTACACAGTTAGAAAGTTTTGAACAATAAGTATCGAGGCTATTGCAACTATTAATGCACTCGTAGTGATTTAATATCGTAGAATTCGCATGTTACATTAGATTCTTAGAGTTTGGACACGTTAGTATTTAGAGCATCGGCACCTGACATGTTTCTGCACTACGATTCGAATTATTTCACAGCATTACAAAACACGAAACACTACGAGCATGTTTCATTAATCCTCTATCGGATTTTTCAAAATAACTAGCACATATACTTGGTGTTCTTTTTTATTAATTTCCACAAATCACATCACAAATCGTTCACACGCAACAATAATGAGTTCTTCAAAATTCATTCAATTTTTCAAAAAGAAATCGAGAAAAATATACGAATGCATTATCAAATCAAGTTCATTATTACACTATATGCAGTAAATATTGCTAGTATTTTGCTTAAAAAAAAAAAAAATTAGAGAGTTATGCAATAGTGTTAGTTCTTCAATCCTTTATTCTTTCTGACGATCAAATTCTTTGATTTTCGTACTGACAATGAGACCGAATAATCTTTGATTGACTTTTTCTCTATAAAATCCTATCAATTAAACAATCGAGCGATCAAGTAATAATTTGGAAGCTGTCTAAAAGTTATTCACGGTTCTCAAAGATTTCTCTCAAACAACCCTGCCACACGCTTACGATCTACTTGTCGAGCAACTCTTGTCGTGTGTCGAAATGAATCCTACGCAATGATCGTGCCCTCCCTCGTTGCGCGTAGAACAGAGGCCGAAAGCCTTTAACGAGCGTGTCCATCAGGTCCGTGGAGCGCCTCGACGAGCCCGGCCAGATCGCCGAGTCCGGTTCACCGGATCGAGCGCGGTCATTACGGTACGACCAGTCTGGAGCAGCGTTCGAGGAGCCCGAGCCCGATAGGCGGCAGTCGTCCCCATCATCATCATCATCGCCATCATCCGCATCAACACAGCTACCCGGTGCTGGTCGCGAGACGGGGCCAGGGTCGCCGACTGCCGCCGACGCCGAACAAGCCGTCGACCCTGCAGCTGAAGCCGGCCAACATCAATTTTCCCAAGCTGAACGCCTCGCCCACCCACGGACCGCACGTGATGGCGCCGAGCGGACCCCCGCACGCGCCAGTAGGACCCGTGCCGGGCCACGTGCTGCAGCACCCGCATCCGCCGTCGCACATACCGTCGGGCCACCATCCGCTGAGCTTCGAGCAGGCTGTCGCGATGGGCCGCGGCGGTCGTCTGCTGCCTAGCCCGGTGCCCAACGGCTACAAGCCGCAACCGCAGTCCAAACAGAGAGCGCCCAGGTGAGGAGTGGTCTGTTTTGGTCTACTTTCTATTATAAAAAAATAATAATCGAGACTATACAATTTTTGCCCTTGTTCTATTTTTTTTCGAAAATGTTTCTCTTGAAATTCTGCGAAATAATGTGCTTCGGCATTCGTCTATTTTAGCAGAAAAATGATAATAATAGAGAGTTAAACGAAGGATTTTCCCGAACAGGTCGAGGCACTCGGACAGTGACGAAGACGATTGGTGCTAGCCAAAGTGGGACCCTGGACGGTGGTCCGGTGACGTGGACGCCCCCAGGCGTCTTAGGGTTTGCGCGTGATGGTCGTCCACGTAGGACGCGCGTTAATTACGCTGTGAGGGCAACGGAAGTGCCGCGGTCGACGGGCCCGGAGTCGGTCAAAAACGGTTCCGCGAAGGAGCGGTCCACGGCATTGCGGCATGTTCCGGCACATTGGCGACCGAAAGGGGTCTAAGAGAGTTGAAGGCCGGAGAAGACAATTCGACCGGTGTTCGGATCGATCTCGAAGGCTGAACACGGCGACCGAACAGGGTCAACGAAAAGAGAAAAATACACGAGAAAAACGATTTGATTTTTCGCAAAATACAAGGGAGATTAATGAGAGCAAATCATTAACAAGATGATGAATCCGCGAATTCTACGATCGAGATGCAATCAAACGGCTGTGCTCGAAGATTCGACGTGGAGTCTAAAGACCGAGCCAGCGGGATCGGCAATAGGAATAATCGCGCCTGGCGCAAAGCAGAAAGGTGTAAATTTTATTCAATCGCCGACGTCGGGGACGCTTTACGACGGCGCGAGGCGACGGTCGGCGACGATCGGTCTCTCGAGATCGCAAGCGGTGGCTATATACATCGAGAGACAAGTCGGTGGTGGGTTGCAGTGAAACTCGTCGTGCGCGACAGTGATAGAGAAATCGAACGGACGTTTCGGGAGCTCGAACCCTCCAACTGTACGCGCATGAGTTGATATTTCAATCTTCCCTCGCGTCGATCGAGCGAGGACCGCCGGGGAGGAACCTACTTTTTATACGATTTTCCGGAGGAGAGACTCGTCGAACGCCCGAATGCGCTGTGATCACCACAAAACGTTCTCTTATGTGTGTGTATGTGTGTATGTTTATGCATGTATGTACGTACGTATGATCTTGGCATGTATGCGTATGAAACCCCCCTTCCCCCACAATTCGTCGGAAATCGCGACTGATGTATCGAATCGTTCCACCTCCGTGGAAATGCCGATAATTAGCGAGTTAGTTTCAATGTTCAACGACGACGTTGATTAAGAGACACCGATCGAGGGAGACTGAAGCAAGCAGAAAAAGCGATCGTCTAGGATCGCCGCTTTCAGTTTACGAAAAAATAAAAAACAAAGAAGGATAACTTGAGGCTGATGTAGATGATTACAAGTGTAAGTATATTTAATTATTTTAAATTCAAGGAGCCCTATCAAAACACGGTCCGAAGGGGCGAAGCTTCATTTCGAACTGAAAACATTTTGTGTTCCTTCGTTGTAAAGAGCATCGTCGAACGATTTGTTGGGAAATATTTCGCCGCGCACAAACCGCGAACGAACTGATGAGCGGAAGCGAACGTTTCCCGACGAATCGCATGGAAAAACCAATGAAAGGATTAACAGGGTTAGAAGTTAGGCCAAAGATCGAAAACGAGAAAAAGAAATCAAGTTGTTTTACCTGGGGACTCACATTAGCTCCATTCTGCCATTAGCGAAATCGCGCCGAGCAACGCTCCAATCAAACGCGAGAAATTAGAAAAAGGATCGGTTCTTGCCGAGAAGACGCGCAAAAACCGCCGCTGCGAGATACCGATATCGGCGCGACCGTTCGCAGCCGCGATTCTTGCCAAATCGGACCGTAGTCATCGCGAAGGAAACAAAGAGCGTAAAAAAAAAAAAAAAAAAAAGAAGAAAAGAAAGAAAGAAAGAAAGAAGACAAACGCGAACGTCGTCGTTGACTCGTGCGGATGTTGCCTCGCGATTCGTGCCAATCAAGAGAAACTAGGAGAAAATTCCGGACAAGAGGACCACGATATCGAGGGTTGCGCACTCGGAACACGGGGTGAGACGGGGTGAACAGTCGTCGCGAAGTGTCAGGGGGAAGATACGTAAAAGCGGAGAAGGAGAGAAAGAGAGAGAGAGAGAGAGAGAGAGAAAGAGAGAGGAGTTGGGCGACACACAGGGAGAAAAATGAGTTCTTACCACACGGTTTTCAAAAAAAAAAGCACTCTTGTAAAAATTACTGCATATAATTGAATTACGATATTTATTACTATCACTGCTAATACCGTTATACTAAAACTTAACACCTACCGAAAGAGAAGGAAAAAAAAAAACAGCTACTCCACTACTATTACTATTACTACTAACTCTACTAAAACTACTGCTACTACCATTACTACTATATTACCATTTACTACCGCTACTACCACTACTACTACTGTTACTATTACTACTACTACTATTGCTGCTGCTACTATCACTATTACTACTACTACTATTACTACTACTATTACTAAACTATTCTACACTACCGTCGCTACTAACGCTGTTACTATCATTATCGTAATACTAAGTGTGCTAATTATCGAAGCGCGCGCGATCCGTAAGGGAAGAACGTGAAACATCAGTCTTCGTGATTAAAATTCATTTTCAAGCTCGAGAATTTTGCCGTCGATTTGGATGTGCGTTTAAACGGCGGATGATAGAGCAAGGGAAAAAAAAATAGATAAAAAGTTGAAGGAAGTATCCGCAAAACGAAGGCTCGCTAAACCGAGCGCACGTATCCGAACCGAGATTATATAACAAAGGCGAAGAGAAATCATTATATTATACATAAAAAATACACTTAACATACTGCCAATCGTACGGGGTGTTTTAAGCGGAAACACACACGAGAATACATAGGTGTACATAAACATACGTTCTTTTTTTTCTTGCGACACGTATAAATATTATGATATATCTGTATGTAGGTAAGTGTACATACCCGGTGAGCGAAAGGGAGGGAGAGAAAGCGAGAAGACGAAGAAGCGAATGAATGTATAACACCGAATCGGTGGATTTGAGAAGCGAAATAACACGACTGATATATGATGATTAAATCACTCGGTGATTTAGTGAAGCATTTTATTTTTACCTTTATTTTTATTCTTACTTTTATATATTTGTTCGCTTACTTTTGCGCAAATGTTAAAGGTGAATATGATATTTATCAAGGAAAAATATGAGGAAGGTTGATTTATTTCACTTCTCAGATGAGCGAATTCGAGTAATTTCCGATACTGCTCTGTGCTTGTTTACGTAATTTTCGTGTATCGGCTAAGTCGAAATAAACGAGAATATTGCCATTACGTAACGGATGGATATTAATTAATGTAAGTAGCTAATTCGAGAGAGCGTGTGCATGCGTCGGGGAAACTAAAAGACGGAGAAAGAACGGCGTGAGAAACGAGAGAAAGGAAGCGTGATTGATTTTCCAGCGTGATCGACATACAAAAGATCCTTGGTGAATGGACGGGCGTTAACTATCGAATTTGTTTGTGTGTGTATCATTCAATGATTAAAAAAAAATTCAACAATACGTAATAAGATCAATTTTTCCAAAGAGAAGATTACAGACTTACCCAATCGCTTTAATATTGTCTAATAGTAAAATGTAAAATAATAAAAATTAATAATAAAAAGCTAATTGAAAGGAGTTGGAATAATTGATGACTGATATCTTTCAATGACATAATTATTTTCAGGTTCAGGAAAATTACATTTGAGTCACAGTGTCAGCGCTGACGTAACGTAAAAATGTTATTTTGAAAGGATGAGAGAAAGAGAGAGGATCACCGAGGATCTCGTAAGCGCATCTCTAACGGCGCGTAAACAGAGTCGCGTGGTTTCTTCCCTTAAGTGCTTTAAAAACTCAATCGTATATCGTATCATCAACGTATAAACGTCGCTACGTACGTGAGTCTATAATTATAATCAGCGAGAATGAATGCAATATGGAAAGGAATTGGATTCGCTAATATTGGTTCATACAATTGTCTTCGTTAAATATTCTTAGGTCGTTTTTTTTTTATAATATAAAATAGGCAGTACCAGTTATGTATTTTTATATTCATAATCTAAAAAAATAATTTGAAAGATTATTTCAAAATACGATTTATCTAGAGAAGTCAATGATTTTTATTCTAGCCGGTATTAGCGAATGTTTCGAGGTAAATCGACAGAGATCCACACAAAATCGTGATAAAGCTGAACGACTACGATGCGCGCGCGTGTGTGTGCGTGTGTATACGGAAATATAAGATTAAATATTCATAAAAATGTTTTTCTGTGATAAATCCGAAAATCTTAGTCGGTCCGACGATACGGTCGCGTCGATAGGCGATTTATGCAGATCCAAAAATGCGTTTATACGAATAAAAAGAAAGAGCAGAGCCGCATTTACAATTCTATTTGGAGCCGCAAATGTCGAACCTTCTTCTCTTTTTCCAATTTCGAATTTTTTTCACCAGATAATCGCATTGAGCATCGAATTACATCGTGTGATTCTTAAATTTGTTTTTTACGAAAATTTTTAATCAATATAAAAATGGCATCAAGTTATATTTAATACAAATTTTATCCACTTAATTTATTTTTCTGCAAATAAACATTAAATTGAATGCAAAAACGAAATAATACTTGAATAAGTAAATTTAATGTTAAACGTAAAATGTAAGTGCGGCTCAGAAAGAGTAGTTATCAAAATCAATGAGAGGCAGAGAGAGAAAATAACAAAAGAACGAACGAAAGAAAAAAAGGAGAGAATGCATGTGCGCATTTAATGTATGTCATTTAATGTACACGATAAAGTGTCGTACGTGTGTGAAAGAATAACCGAGAAACTTTCAATCTTTCTTTCTAGCGTTATAAAGAGGCAAGCAGATGACCAAGCCCATAAAAAAAAAACGATAAACTAACATAATCCGAAATTAATATTATCATAATTTCAATTTAAAAGTGCTAACTTAAAGATATATATAAACGTGAGAACTTTGACAAAAAAATGTGGTTAAATTATATACTTACATAACAATAATACCGTCAACACTGATAAAAATTACGATCATAATCATAAAAATAATTCTATCGTAATAATACTAATAATACTGATAGTAACATCATCGCGTTAAGTGTAACAATACGAATAACAATAAGCGATAATAACAATAAACGACTTTACGATTCGTTTATGGCATCCATATAGGCGATAATAAAAGACTCTTATTAGATACGTGACAAAATATAATCCCGCGCGAGATAATTATCATCGAATTGTCGAATACGAGATAAAAAGTGCGTGTGTGTGTTAGGACACAGCTAAAAAAAATACTAAAACGATAGTGCTAATAGTATAGAATTCCAAATTCGTCTCGACGCGACTAAGCGATCTTCGAAGGCGTTGCATCATCGCTTCCATAATACAATTATATTATGACATATGACAAATATTTCTTGATTGAAATATATTGATAAGCTTAAAATTAACAAATGATAAAACGCATTGAATCAATTAATTTAGCTCCATAATCAAAACAAAATAATTTAATTTAGTTAATTGTCATTCATTATTGATGGATGAAGATAAATCTGGCGCATTAAGTTAATTAATCAACAAACTAATTGACATAATAATAATTGATAAAAATTGATAAAAACAGAAATACAGAATGTTTCAAAAATTATTTTCGTCAATTACTTTTTTTTTAAATCACAAAAATAATAATTATTTTACTGTATATAACGTTTTTATGTTTAAATCATAGTATTTTGGACATTGTGTATCCTACAGTATTACACTCGAATGTGATTTCATGGCACATATTATTTGATCAAACCGCGATTATGCGAGCCTTCGGCGCATCGTCGGACTCTCAGTGATATTAAAACGAAGTAACGCTAACGAAAATATAGATAGGTAAGAAAAATAGGTAATCGCGTTATAATACCGCGGAAAGTTTTGCGGCAACATCGTGGAATCTACAGAAAAATCGATAAAAAATATAAAGAATACTGACGAATGAGAGTTAAACATTTTCCGGATATTACGTTAATTGTCGTCGACACGTACATTCCGCAAATTCTATAAATATCGTATATATAAATTAAGAATATTATATCGCAATGAGATGCTCGCGAAATCTCGCGAGACCAGGCAAACATTCGCGAACTTGCGCGCGCGCATCCGATATCCCGTGTATCCACCCGATGCACGTTGCATACGAAAAACAAAAAAAACAAAAAAAAAACAAAAAAAAACGGGAAAAAACAGAAATTCTTCCCTGGCTGGCAGGAGAGACAAACGAAATACAAGCACTCTCGTTGGATAGTGAGAGAAATTTATGGAATCGTTGCTCGACCGATATATAGTATATTGTAACAGAGAGAGATATTCATAAATGCATATTCCACACGTTTAATTTTACTCGTATCTATTTATAATGCTAAACCCGCAGAGGGATAATAAAAGTAATAAAACGATGCGACGCGAGGTTCTTCGCGGGAGATAAATCCGTAATCGTATCACGTAAAGGGGGAAAAAAAAAGAAAAAGAGAAATTGTACGTTAAGTTTTTCTACTTATCTATACATATATAAATATATAAATATGATATAGAGACGTGTGCATGCAATATACATACGTTATAATATACATATATAAATATGTACACGCGCAAAAGACGTACACGCATATACGTTATACATATATATATATACATAATATACATAATTGGTATAAACGAACGTTGGAAGCGTACATCGCGAGACACCGAACGCCCTGTCGATAATAACTACTCATAATAGTGAAAAAAAAAAAGAAGCGAGGGAGAGTTGAGGGAAGAACGAGAAAGAGAGAAATTTCGTCACTAGAACTCTCGGCGTGCCAACGCCGGGGCTCCGTAGAGTTTCATACTTTTGCAAATAATCGAAATCTCGTCGATACATACTATATATAAATATATATTATACCGATCTCTATACATATATACATATTATAAATATAAAGGTTTAAACCCGTTGATCCGAGTTTGAGTCTAATTAAGTCATGCGCGTGCAGCCGCGGTACGAACAAAATTAGCGAAGTAGCGTGCAGAAAATGGAATTGTTGCAGAGCGTCAATTTCTTCAGACCGGAGTGCTTTCGCGTGTCGTTTTCGATATGCACATGCATGGATGTCACACGTTTTTTTTGCAAGCTAAAGACACGAATTTCAAATTAAAAAAGAGTTTTACAAATAAATTTTTTATACTTCGTGCAAAGTGTAGATTCGTGTAAAAAATCATGCGTACGTAATTCTATAAACAATGAAGCTTCCCCTTAAGATGAATAAAGATTAATTTTTATTTATTCAAAAATTAATTTCTATAGCAATATCATGTTTTGTGTTAGAAAAATTTATATTTAATAGATTATGATAGGAATTAATAACATCATAAAGTATTTATATGAATTAGCAAAAAGAATAACACAGTAGTTGTTGAAACTGACGAAGTATAATAAATTGATCTCTAATAAGATTAGAATTATTAATAATTATTATCATATTATGTAATAACTGATCATAATTTCGTAGCTCATTGATAGAATTACTATAAAGCTTTAATTGAAATACAATTTTATAATAATCTGATTTCGCCAGATAATAATCTGGCTGCAATATTAACTCCGACATATCGGTGACATACGTGCATGCGTCACTCGGATATAATTTCGCGTCCGGAAATCGAAACTGACGCTTTTTTGTCGCGCGAAAACCAGCGAGAGGCGGAAAAAAATGTCGATGGGTGGAACGCGAAGAAGAAAGTGAGAAAAAAAGTCGTAATACGGCGAATCATTAATTAGTAACAAGAGTTGCCTTAATATTACACGTTCACGAAACTAAGATACGCGCGGGGAAAGATAGGAAAATTATTAGAACAACCGAGGCTGAGAGGAGCTGTGTCGCGAAGCTCTTCAAGTCACTATAATTCGAACATTTTGGACGGAAATACGAGGAGGTAGCTGCGCATGCATTGCGATAGCAAACTCATAATGCGTTTAAATCAATTAGTTGATATGAATTCCCAATTTCAAACTTAATATGTAATCGATAAGGTTGTAATTTTTACTTTCGCTATATAAGTTGTACTTTTATCTCCAAAGGAACATTTCAAAAGAATTACAAGCCGTGGAAATGTCTGTGTTTTAGAAATCTTCCAAACGTATGTATCGTCTGAGCTACAATTGAGCACAATGTAACTCTAATTGCCTAGCCTCGTCCAAATGAAATCTTTCAGTATACCTTCGCGATTTCGTCGTCGTCTCACGAACGGCTATTAGAAATCAAAAAGAAAAAAAAATCGAGAAAATGGAACAAAGCAAAATAAAAATAGAAAAGATCGGGGAACCGCAAAGGAGAAGGCAAGGAAATCCGGAAATCCGGAACAAATTGACGAGATGGGAAGCGAGCCACGACTGACCTGTGTCTATGTATGCGTGCGTAGGAGAAAGAGAGAGAGAAAGTATGCGTGTGTCGCGCACAGATGTTTCAACGAATTAATATGAGCGATTAGACGTGAAAAATAGACGAATAGAAGAAGATAGAGAGCGTGGCGTCGCTGCATGTTCGCAAGAAGCTCGTCATCGCGTCTCGCATTTAGTTAAATGCGATCGATACCAAGTTTCAATCTGAGAGGCTCGTAAGACTTTCCGGCGACTCGAAGAAATAGATACACCGTATGAAAAATCAATTTTTGAGATATCTGTTTTGAGATATCCGTTATGACGAGGAGTAGACCGATTTTATCGTATTCAAAGTGTCTCTGAGCCTCTGAGATTTAAGACTAAACGCGCACCGCGACGGCGAGCAGAGTTCGTAGACGTTCGTGACTTTGATAGCCGCGTGCCGTTGTTACAAGCATTATGTAAAAAAAAATTAAAAAAAAAAAGAGAAAAAATCCATTGAAAGCTTTAACTTTGAATAAACTAACTTTAAAAAAGAAGGGTATGCAGAGAGTTACGCGGTGCGTGACACCGCACGATGCACGGAAGCACGACGGTGGCAGACGGGAAAGTTCGACGCTGCCGGACTCAAGCTCGACCGCCTCCACTCACGCCTTTCTCTCAGCACGGCCGAACGACTCGTTCGTGAGAGATTCGCGGAGATTCGCGCTTGAGAATCCATGAAAGATTAAATTCCGCATCTCGAAACTTCGTAAGATGTTAATACTTGCGGTCGAAAGTTTCGCGGGGGGTCAAAATTCTCGTCTCGAGAATTCACGGGGTGCCCGAATTCGCGTCCGAGTATTCGCTGAATTTCGCGAAGACGTCTGGAATACTGCGAGAGGTCGAAATTTGCGCGCGGGAATTCACGAGTGAGTTGCGTAAACTTGTAAAGCCAAGTCATAAGACGCAAGGGTTTCAAGGATTCGCAAGCAGGAATTTGCGGGAGGAAGATACGACGCGAGCGAAACTTGCCGAGGCGAGAATTCGACGATCACGGGCGCGCCGCGCAGCATCCCGTCGTGCTTCCCGCCAACTGTATAAAAATTTATTGTATATTACTTATACATACATGTAGACGTATACATACGCGGAAATGCTAAAAACACTTGTTTTTTCTCTAAGAAGGGGTCGAGCGAAGAGATTGTACCTTTATACATAATAATTAATAATTCTCGTACGCTCGCGCGCGTCACGCTGAAGCTAACGCGCGATTCGGCCAATCGTAATCGATGATGGACAAGATTTCTTTTCCACCAAATGAAACAGCATTTTAATCTGCGACAAACATACGAAATAATGCGAGATAATTTCCCTTCACGGACCGATTCTTCGACAAAAATGTTTATCGAAAGTTTATTGATGTAATTAGTCGCAAAATAATTTTACATCAAAAGTTTATCGATCAATCAAGCTGTAGAAATGTAGAAACAATTTACTTTTCAGTTTGTGTTACAAGCTAAATTAATGAGATATTTAATATTAATTGAAAAAATAATTAAAAGGTTGTGACATAAATTTTAAGGAGATCGATTGCGAATTCGTCAAAATATCTGTAATAGTAAAATAATTTCAAATTCCAGATGCCTTCGAGTGTTCGAATTATGCGCGACTTTAATCAACAGCTAAAGGGAAATATGAAATTCAGATTGCGTTTGAACGCGCGAAATAAAAATCCACGTGACGACGCGCGCGCGCCACGCTGTGTGTGTCATTTCTCTTCTTCAGGAAAAATAGGTACACACGTATATCTGCCAGTGATCTACGTGGTGTGCCGAGATAACGAGAAAGACAGAAAGATAGAAAGAAAAGTGAGAAAAGAAGAGGAAGAAAATAATGTCAAAAAATGACATATATTGTGTATGAGAGAATATATATCGTAATTCTTTAGCCCTCGAAAATACCGATCTTTGAATGAAAACGTGTGAGTGTACAAATGAGAAAGAAAGAAATGAAGAGTGAAAGAGAATGTGTGTGCAAAAATAAGAGAACAAGAAGAGAGAGAGAGAGAAAGAAGGAATGAAAGAGAAAGAGTGAAAGAGAAAGAGTGAAAGAGAAAGAGCTACAGGGAGAATACGAAGACATAAATATGCATTATTACTGATGTACTATGCTGTAAACGAGAAGCGGAAACCTATCTTATATATAAATATTATATATATATATATATATATATACATAGCTAGTTCAATTTGCAAACTTAGTGTGTACTGTCGCTTCGAAAATGCCCATTACTCGCCAGAATCCAAGAGAAAAAAGAACCCGACAACCGATTTCAAGTTCATTCTTTTTTTAAGGAAAAAAACCAAATAAAATAATGTGTTAAAATATTTCACACGAGCGATTTTTCACTTGAAACACTGCCGATCTTTTTACTTATTGTTTTAGCAATACTAGCAATTTAAAAGTCATTTAAAAATACTGAAAGTATATATATAATGTTATCGCTGAGATCTTTTAATTTATCTCAACACATAGAATAATTAAAACTTTTAATTAAATGCTAATGTTTTAATTTGAATTAAATCTTTGAATTACAAACTAAATAAACCCGTTATTTTCATAATAAAGCAATTATTTTTCAAGTTTTGCAAAGAGAAAAAATTCTATACATATAAATTTGCAAAAAAATTCAAAGCAAATTTTTGCCAATCACAAAGATAAACTGTGTTTCAATTTTTTTCTCACATAAAATTATTTTTTTCAGACTTAGTTTCACGTGTATCGATTTATCATCTGATAAATTTTCTTATCCTCTGCAGCCGCTAGATGGACCTAGTCGACTGAAAGCCGACTTGTTCGAAGAAAGAGAAACGCATCAGCTGACAGCCAGCTGGTATCAATACATGTGTGACATTTTTAACATGTTGAGTAAACGCGGTGCACTGATAGTTCTGGAGGGTTGCGATCGAGCCGGTAAATCGACGCAAGCGAAGATGTTAATAAATGCATTAAGCGATCTGCGGATTCCAGCAAAGGCTAACGGTTTTCCAAGTGAGTAACAAAAAATCATGACTTGTTGCGAGGTTATGTTATTTTGCGCGGGATATGATTTTTTTACTACACGTGCAAGTAACAATTGACGTATATTAACAAGTAATAATTTATACGTGGGATATAATTAGTACAGTGTTAATCACATGAAAGAAGCGTCTCAGTTATCGTAACGTACTGTTTTTTCCTTCGGCCTCAATATTATTGCACATGTTGCTGTGACAACACTAGCCAGACGTCACACACGCGCAGATTCAAAGGACTGTGCCGTATTAATTTCAAACGATAAACATTAGATAGTAAAATAATTGTGATTGCACTAATTGCATTAAATTGCGGCAGACCGTTAATAAATAAATTAAAGTCAGAGATTAAATTTTTTTAAATTTTGACAAGCAATGTATTACTACGTTGTTTAAAATGTTACTAATTTTTTAAATTATTAAATAAATAAAATCTATTATTCTCCATCTATTAATCTTTTAATTTATCTGAATACATAATATAATTAAAACTTTTAATAAATTGCTAATGTTTTAATTTGAATTAAATCTTTGAATTACAAACTAAATAAACCCGTTATTTTCATAATAAAGCAATTTCTCAAGTTTTGTAAAGAGAAAAAAATGCTATACATATAAATTTGCAAAAAAATTCAAAGCAAATTTTTGCCAATCACAAAAATAAACTGTTTCAATTTTTTTCTCACATAAAATTATTTTATATATAAGTAAAAATATATATTAATGTTATTAATAATGTGTATATTAATAAAAACTAAAATATGCTAAGATTTTACTGTTAAATTATTAAAAACATTTTTAAAATTTTTTTTTCTAGACAGAAAGACTCCTGTTGGAACTATCTTAAACAGTTTCCTGTCAAAAGAGATAAATTTGCCACCAGAGGCAGCTCACTTGCTGTTCTCTGCCAACCGATGGGAATGCAAGGAGGACATTGAAAGAACACTTTTGTCTGGCCATACAGTAGTAATAGACAGATACGCAGCTTCCGGTGCTGTATACACAGCAGCTAATACCGGCAGAAGCCTCAGCTGGTGCCAGTATCCTGATATGGGACTTCCAAAGCCGGACTGTGTGATGTTTCTCAAGGTGTCTAAGCGACAGCAAGAACAGCGCAGTGATTGGGGAAAGGAGAGATTCGAGCATGACGAGTTTCAGCAACGAGTCAATGCTAATTATGAGAAATTAAAAGACGATAGTTGGATCATTATAAACGCGGATCAGGACGAGTCGACGGTGCACACCGAAATATTACAGAAAGCGCTACCGATCATTCAAGAGGTTCAATATCGTAATATAAAACTGCTAAGTAGCTGAATGTACTGACAAATTTTTATGTTTCTACCTTAGCAGAGTATTACTGCATTAATAATTCTATGGCATTTGCTAGTTTTAATATTGACGATATGATAAATAAAATTTTGACAATATATTAAAAAATCCCTCCCACGCAATAAAAAGAAAATAACTATTTTATTATTAAAAAATTGTTAAATATAAATTTTTAGACTTTGTATTTTGTACCGTATTATTGTAAGTTATTAATTGCTACTTGCTGGACACATATCACACGTAGTTATAAGATTTTAAGAATAAACTAGAACTGTTGAGAATAAAACAAATAGAACATTTTTAAATTTATATAATAAATAAATTTTATGTACGGAGCTTGGTTTAAAGTTGTTTCATTTAGCACAAAGCATTACATAATTTTTTTTCCTACTTGTTGGATCGCCGATAAATGAATTTCATATCTCGTTTCGTGATTTTCTTCGCGGGCATAATTTCGCGCTGTCACAATAATAAGTAGCCGATGCGGGAATTCCTTTTTCCCATCTCGATTTAAATACAAATCCGACATTTACTAAGGAAAGCCGACATTAAAGAAAGAATCGGGGTCGCACGCGTTTCTCAGATAAAACCAGACGTGCCCTAGAGAAATGCAACTATCTTCTACATCTGAATTCGGTTCCGGCGAAATAAAGTGCGCGCATAGATATTTCCGGAATCGGATCGCGCACTTTAGCACTCAAGTATACATTTGAATGCACTTGCTTCCTCACAAGAATTATTTCCTCGACGGTATAACGTGTTAATATCGTAAGTGTAAAACTACCAAACTAAGATATTTTAAAGTGTATAAAAATAATAAATGTCTAATTAATCAATTTTAACAGCGAGGAAAAAAAATATAATTACCGCCAAAAAAATAGAAAGACGAATTAGCAAAAGATAAATATGTGTAACGCGCATAATTTTGTAAAATGTCTTATTAAAAAATTTCTCATTTAAAAAATTGATTCAAGCAAAACATAGTGTATCATCTGGTATCATCGATACACACTTTCTAACTTATTAGATTTAATTAATAGTCACTTGTTTCATATTTTTACGCTTTTATTTGTATAATTACTTAATCGATAATACCTTGCAGATGAATTATCCGAGATAAATGATTCTAGGCTTACTTGCTGAAATCAAAGAAGAGCTTAGCTTTTCAACGGAACTTGTTTCACTGACTTTTCTAATAATAAGATGCAAACATATTGATAGTTATATTGATCACGATTGATCACGAATGATCTCAATCCGAGGCGGACCGCTAATGTATAATAACTTTCTCTCTCGCAATTTTGTTAGCTGATTAGCTGACAGTAATAATACAGCTACGTGCGTCACATATATGCACACACATATGCGGCACGTTCATTTGCAAATGATGTGTGCGCACTGGATTTTCTATGCTTCGCGTTCCGCAGCTGCTTATTCAAAGAATAATTAAATTAATAATATTTTTTAGTGTATATAAAAAAGCCTTTTCAGATCATTATAGAGTACTTTTTCGTTCATAAATAAGTTACATTCGCAGCTTGCAGAATTAAATAATAAATTTAATACTTCAATAAAAACTTATCTTTATCTCGAAAAAAAAAAGAGAGATCAGAGACGCTCATATCTTCGGATAATAACGAGTACGGCAACGGAAATCGATTATGCTGAACGCAACGACGACGGCTGCTAAAGCTACATGATGATAAATTGCATAACGCCCGCAGACTAAGACCTGTACTATGTGTAATGATGTCTCTCGCGTATTGTGCTGCTGGAAGCAAGCGAACACCTTAAATGTCTTCATGCAAGCATATTCTTGAAGAGAGGTATTCGCCTAACTTACGTAATATCAAAGTGCATAGTCCGATGTTACGAAGAATCCGAGTAGACAGTGATGAATCTATGCCGCTCCCGATAGACAATTTCACGTGTAAATCAATTTTAATTAATGCATTCCGGAAAGCAAAATTATTCGTCCAATAATTGTCCCAATTTAAAATGTAACAGGCACTTCATTGTTCAGTGGATTATTTAAGAAACAAATCTACTTAATTATTGATATATTAAAATGTAGAATAGTGGATATGCTTTTTGCTGCTTTCGATCCGGCCATTTTACATTTAACAATGCAAAAACGTTTTGCATACATAAAATAATTTTACTCAAAAATTTACTATTTCTTTTGACATCCGAGACGAAAATACCGCGTTAATGTAGGATTTCTCTATCTCGGTTCTGATTGTGAATTATTACGGCTCTTCGTGGCGGCGTGCTATTAATCCTTCAGCATCACACACACGCAGCAAGGCACCGGAGCGGTGTACAAGTCGCATTATTCAGATCAGGGGTTTGGGGGATGTCATCCGGGAATCGAGTCCTTTTGAAGGCTGCTACGAGTCCTCGAGAGCGAGCGCGCAACTTTGTTTCGCGCAGAAACGCGACCCGGGGAAATTGTATCCAGCGAAGAAATTCGACGGAAGCGCACAATGGTGCTTCAAGTCTGAATTGATGATTTCCGGGGCGACGGAAATGTAACGGTTCCACGTGGGCGAAACGCGGATTTCGTGAATTATCGAAGAAACTATTAACTTTCGCTTGGAATTGTAAGTTCCATATTGCTGGATTGCCGTCCCGCGCAAGAAGAGAAAGTTTACATTATCGCGCGAAAACAATTCATAAGGAGTTTCTCTTATTCCGCCGTTTATTTCCTAATAACTACAATTAATTGGTCTGTCAAATTACGAATAAATTGTTGCCCGTGGAAAATATTATATCAAAGATTTATACCGAAGATTTGCATACGCTTTAGCAACTTTCATCACTTCTGGAACTTCTTTAAACTTTTAATCCTTCCTGGGTCTTCCGCTCTGTCTCACGCGATTGCCTTCGTCTCGGCTATCGTACGTCATTATCACTGGGCGTATCAACGGAGACAGCAGGTACGGCGCGTGCTGAGTCGGACGAGCCGAAGACAAACGTCGTCTCGTACTGCTTCGTCCAATTGAAATCGGATTTCGATCGTTTTCGCTGCGGTTCGTCATCGCTAGAATTATCCCGAGTCTCTTCAGAGCCCGCAGAATGCGACCGTTTCCTTTTCAACAATTTCTGGAAGGAACGATTGTCATTTCCATCCAAATTGATCGATTCCGTCTCGTCTCTCGCGGTAGCGCAGGAAATCACCTCTGCGTCTGACTCCTTTATGTCCAAATCAGCGGCAGATGTATCGTTAGACACTTGTTGCGATGTTACAGCGCTGCTATTTGTGTTTACGACTTCCGACGGAGAGCCAATCGATCGCTCGCTGCTTGCAGCTTGACCATTCTCACTTCCGTCTTTGCTGTTAGTCGTTTTTTCGACTTCATCGCAAATCACATTTGTTCCCGATGTAATCAACTCGTCGCTCACAATTGCTCGTGTCGAGTGAATCTCCTCGATTCCAGAACTCTGAATCGTACTTCTAATTATCTGATTATCGATAACCTTTGGGAATTTTGTCGATGTCGGGATTATATTTTTTTTATTCTTCGATGATTCGTCACTCGATTTTGTACTATTCGCCTTTTTCTTTTCATCTAATCGAGCTTTCTTGCGCGATCCCTTCAACAAGCTCTTTCTCTTCCAATTAATTTTTTTTTTCATAGAAATTTTCTTCAAATTTCCATTCGCCTCTAAATGATTATTGATTGGATTTTTTTGCTCAATCGCGGGATTGAATTGATCATCGGTTAATCTAATGATTTCCCTGGTTCGGAGGTTGTAGCCGTGACTCTTGTCAGTAGATTTACACTGTTTGTCTAACGCATTAACCGAAAGATCATCGTCAAACGTGACAAACTTCCTGAACGATACACCAGTCTTCAGATCTTCCCACGCGGCACAGTGCATTTCCAAAAAGCAGTCGTCGGTTCGGAAGCTCGTTCGCTGGAAACTGGCGATAATAAGATTGCGCGGAACTTTCTGCCACGCTTTCATCAAACTTCTCACCACGTTCTCGACGTTCCACTGTCGTCCGCATTCTCCGATTCCTTTCACATACCTAAGATGAATATTTTTGATAATTCTTTGCAGACGAAATAATGGAGTCTTTGAAGCTTGAGACTTTGTTTGCGAATTCTTCAAAGGTTATCTCTACACTCGACGATAGCGGTTTGAAAAACTTTTTTAATGGATCCAGTTTCAAACTTTACTCATTTTATATTTAATAAAATATTAATAAAATAAAAAATTTTTTATTCTATAAATATTATTTTATATTTGCAAATAATTAAAAATATTTTACAAAATATATTCTTATTGTGTTATTTGAAACATGACATTTCAAAATTAAAGTAATAATTGTTAACATCAATTTGTAGCAATTTTTAAGGATTTTATAGTCTCTCAATACATAATCCTCCATAAATTGATAGAAATAATTTGCTATATATATATATTTTCATAAACGTACTCGTTTCTGTAGACCATCTTAACAAAATGGAAGACGTCTCTTTTCAAAGGTCTCAAAAGCGGCGGAAAATCATCGGGAAAGAAAACATGTCTGACATTGCTCAATTCTAAATCTCGAATGGCGTTCACGCGATTTCTATGCAGTAGCAACAGGATCTTTCGCCCGCTGCTCAATATGCGATCATTCAGTCGAACCAGCCACTCCCTAAAGAGATTGTCGTTTATCGACGCGTCCTCGCTGTGACTGTATACGTGATCTTCGTCCGTTATCGCAGCGGGATAAGAGCCACAGATCAATAGCGGCAGTTTCTCGGTGCCGGAGGCGTTACAGCACATCAGCACCGTCGCTTTTCTCAGGATATCCGATTCATCCCTTTCTACTGCAGACGAAATCCTGATGGGTGAAATGTCTGAGTACATCGTCAACTCGTCCAGATGGAAAAGATTCTTGTATTTATATTGCGTAATAATGGATCTTATCATATCGATCCAGAGCCGGTAATTACTGAAAATTGGTCCGGAGCAGTTTTCCAGATTTAGGGAGAAGCCGTGTTTTTTCAGAAAACGCGTGAGCCACATCTTGGAACAATTAAAGCCTATCCGGAAATCGAAAAGGGGAGAATTACGATTATAACAATGTTAAAAGTCACAGCGAGTGATCTTGTAATCATCGTAAATATGAAAGGCTTATAAAATAATAAGTCACTAGCATAAATTTATTAAGATATATATCTCGCTCTCTGCAGATTGCTTCGAGTTCTGGGTTAATTCTAGAGCAAAATCGAGACTGTGGGAATTCTTATTGTACAATAAAATAAAATGTCTGAATACAAAAAGTAACTAATTTTTCTCTCGAATGGTATTGTTATCGCAGCATGAGTTTATTATCCTCTATTGCAGGAAGCAAACGACCTTCGTGAATCATCAAATTAATCCTGGAGCATTATTTCGAGCTTTCTAAGCGGCCCAAGCGAACGAAGAACTAAGATGCCTAACAAATACATGCCGGTCAGTCCGTATTTGCTGGCCAATTCGAGGGCTTTGTCACGTAGGAAACGCCTGTCGAGGGGACAATCGGTGGCGTGTCTCTCGCAAGTCCATCTCAGTAGGTCTTCCTTGATTAGCTTCATGGCCGCGTCACGCTCGACGTGCGGCTTCCACGACATTTTGAGTGGTCCTTCTTCACCGGTGCTGTCACATTCTACAATTCCGAGGGATTTTTCGGCGGATCGCGATTGATAGGACAGAGTGGGTCTTTCGAGAATAAAAGTTTTTGATGGATAAAACGGACGATTCGCACTTGTCCCTCGAGAGTCCCGTTGACAGATAAATTGCGCAGTTTCGACCGCGCTCGTTTCGCTTTGTCGGGGCTTGCTGCTAGATTGTGAATTATGCGTTATATATACAACGGGCATGATAAATTATTTTTAATTGTCGTTGAAGTATTTTACGGAAAATAAAGTAGAAATAATCTGTTGCGTTTTTATATCATATTTAAAGCACAGATATGCAATAAATTATATAATTATATAATGTTGTGTTTATTTTAGATTTTTATGTAATCATATTTGTGATTTATACACGGAGAAAATTTTATATGAAAAATTATTATGTATTTAACATTAACCGCGGACCATGAAGCTGCAAACCGAAAATTTTTACTATGTTTCATATGTGAAAAACATAGTAAAATTTTCTATAATTCCTTCATGGCGGCTACTAACGTACATAGTAATTTTTGATATAAAATTTTCTCCGTGTAGAAGTACATTCGGTATGTTAATCAGAATTACCTCATACAAAATTTTATTTAAAAAATGACTTGTATATATTATTAATATTCTTAACAATAAATATAAATTACAAAATGCATCAGTACATACATTCCTTTCGTATAGAAAATTTCAAATTTAGATGCAGAAAATTTCCGCAAGAATAATTTTTTATTCATATTTCTGTTGATGTTATTCATCAGTTAATTTCTAGATTTAATGGAAAATATCTACATGAATGCGCTATAAGGCGCAAGTTCCGACGTAAGTTTCAATGAAAGTATAATATTTGAAGCGCCTATTAAGATCCGCGAATATGCCTTGCGAGCTGCAAGTAATGGTGAAAATGAAAGAGGCGGAGACCGAATTTAAGGAACGAGGCCGATGTTATTCTCAAGCAAGTTTCTAACCGAAAGTCACGCCACTTCATTATCTGGATTCGGCGGATTTAATCGGACGGCTTGCGCCGTCCAGAATAATTAATTGTCTGTCGAGACGGTGGGTAAATTCGGCGGCACGTAAGCGTTTTATCTTGAAGCGTTTAAGCAATGTGAAACATGGAAAGTCTCTCCACTTCAATCTGTCACCTCATTTAATTCGTCTTGTCCAATTAGTGTACGGAGTCGATTAGATCAATGTTAGATACACAAGATAATTGCGCAATAAATTTTTACCTGTTTCATCCCTATCTTTAAATAGAAATTAAATTTATTCGTGGCTTTACCCCCGGAACACACATTTGAAAAGACGAAATTCTTTCTTGATTTTTATCCTCTATTCACATAAAATTTTAATTCAAGAGAATTTCGTAGCGTGATGCGGATACCGTGGGAATACTTTTCCTCCTCGCGGACATGAATACTTCTTTCGAGCTCATTGATGCGCGCATACTTATGTATACTGTTTATGATGATTCCTAATGTGTGCCCTTTTCTCGACGTGTATACTCTGTTAATATGCGGACTACTTCTGAAAAGAATTCAGTCGCGTCGTCGCCGCGTTCTTGCATCTAATTACGCAAGAAATGGGAACAGCGACGTCGCGATGACGCCACCAGTATTTACGGCATTGTAAAAGCTTTGTTTTCAGCTCTATGTTCGGTCACTGACATTCCCTTTTTTCCCTTTGACTAACTTTTCTTGTAATCAAAGGCCATTGTAAAAATATTGACGCAACTGCATTAACTCTTTGTTTAAAATAAACTCTTTGTTTAATGTTACTGCAATATTGTAAACAGTTAATTATTAATTCCGAATTATTATGAGGCAGCATACATACATATTGCAATAAATATTTATCATCATTATATATTTCAGCATTTTGAATAAAATTTGTAGAAAGAAATTTCTATTTATATTTGTATTGCACACATCATTCATCGCAACCAATTATTGATTTTTTTTCACTATCTCAGCATTAATAATGAATATATTCTAAAATAGTTGTAAATATTTCTATTATCAGAATCTAGATGCTTATTATAATCAATATTTATCATTCTTTTAGCAAGTAAAAAGTAATAAAAGAAAAAAATTTGAAATGAAAAAATTGTGCAAGGAATTCATTTGCGCTATTTGCGTTATTTTTGAGGCCGGCATGCGGTCTCATCACTCTCGCTCGTCGAGAAGGTATGAAATGCATTTCGTTCCTGTCGTTGTTTCGAGCACTTGACAAATAACGTTCGTCTGCATTAAATTACATTTCTTGGGGGGCGTCGGCCAGACGCGCGCGCGCGAGATAATTTTCCATCGTAGATTTTCATTTAATATCATGTTATTTATCCATGCACACCTACACGCAGCATCTCTCAGTGTTTTCTTACGTTAGAACCGGTTATCATGATTTGAATATTGTTTTATCCTGTTATGATACTGACATTCAGCTGCGAGCGTGTTATTTCGTATTATGTTAGAGCAATACGCGTATAATTGATTAAACTTATTTACCATGCGGGAATACGTAAACAATAATTATTTTCTCAGATTATAAATCGCTGAATTATAGTATCATAAACTGCTGTTTATAAAATTGTTCGAGTATTATTTTATCTTGTCCTATCACACGGATATTGTGATTTTAACACAATGTCTCGCTAGGATTAATACCTCGTCGTATTATAGGCGGAATAATATACGTTTTCTAAAATTATACAAAACTATAGAATTAATATTCACTATTCTCTTTTTAAATTTTTTTAAAAATCTAGAATTTTCGTTAAAAAATGATAAAGATTCTTATAAACATATGATCCTTATTTTCCAGTTATAACCATTTTTATAGTCCAATAATTCTTACGATAAACCGAGTCTCTGACAAGGAGATAAGCCGTGCGGAACTTATTGTTTGGCCTGCTGGCTCTCTAAGCATAAATCCTTTAGATTTTTATTCACGAGTTATATAAAAGAGGTTGTTTGTAAAACATCCGTCGAGAACGTTGGAATATTTGTCAACGTATTGCAGAAAGTTGCAAACATATCCGAAGAAACCTCAGAGTGTTTAAAAAGAGGGTTTAAATAAGAAAGAATAAACAGGAGGATTTCAGATATCTATAAGCAAAGACGAATATCTGCTGAAGGAAAGAATCGATAAAAATCAATCAGAATGGCTATACACCGAACAGGCGCGGCTAAATAAATTATATGTTTATGTGAACTCGTTTTTGTTTTCCTTTCAGTGCGATAAGTTCACGTGTATGTGAAGTGTAATAACACAAAACATTCCGTTTATAAATATATATCTATCAGAGATGTGAAAGGATAAACATATATTTATATCCTCCTTTACATGTTCATGAAAATCGAAGGAAAATAGAGAGGTAGGTCAGGAGCATTCCGCGCAATAAAATCAGCGCTGCGGCGTGGCTTTAAACGCAAGCCGCCTGTCTATGCAATACGATTGCATATATATATGCGAGCATCCACTTCGACCGGTTGTCTCCACCTGTTATTCTTCTCCATGCGTTCAATTATTCATCCGCGGAGCCGACGTGGAATAATATTTAACGGTGGCATCCGCACGTGCCGCATGCCATACTCGGCGCCGTATGTGTGAGTGTATATGCATATACATTGTGTATGGGTTTATTTACGCGCACAGTTCTAATGCTGTTTCATCGCGCGTGACGGAGGTGTATGAAACGTTAAATCCTCGTAGTCCCCGCGACGTCGTCCAGGAGTGTAGATACTTTAAGGATTCGACGATTATTATTGATGTAAGTATATCGAGTTCGGCTGAAATAAAAGGCTCCGAAAGGTTTTCCGAACGCGCACTTTATTACGCGACGTGGTCACGTTTCATCGTAAATAGCCATGGGAGATAAATCTCAGTAAATATTTTTCACTAAAGTGACCCTTCGAGCTAGTAGCCCCTCATTTTTCCGGAGAGTTGAGTTCTCACTACTTTTCGAATTATATAAATCTTTTTATTTCTATCTTGAGTTTGTGGGATTTACAGCGTTCTCACTGAGAAAAAGTCGACGTCGTGGAAAAAGTTTCAGTTCTACGACAGCTCGGAAATGGCTGTAGGGCTACATTGAAATTCGTCTATCTCCGTCGGAACGCCGAACGAGAAGTGTTCAGGATATTTAAGCGTAATAATTTGCGTTATCGGATTTGCGTGCTCCTGGATTTTATGTTAAAAAGAAGGATGGAGTTTCATTTTTCCGGTTCCGTTGCGACTCATACGCTTCCGCTTCCTTTTTGTGTGTTATGTAAGTTTTATTTCCTTCACGATTGCAGTTTTATTTGTTCATAGTTATATGCTCTTCAATGTTGTGTTTTCTGGGACAATGCGATTGATCGATGAACGCGGTGATTTCCGGGACACCAAGCAGAAGCGGGCAGACTTTTCTGGACTTCGTCGATTCAATATTTACTCGCGAAATTGAAGATGAACTTGATTGGAAGCAACATTATCGATTTTACTCTGCAATTGCAGCCTTGTTTTCGCGACGTGTTTGCGACAATGATTGACTTTGATAAATGAGTGACTTTAACAGACCGGTTATATCGAAAAAACAGCGCGACGAAATTATCGCGATAAGGAAAACGTTTTATGATTAATTCGCAGAAAAATCATATCTTACGCTTCTAATGTGTCTAAACTGCGAAAATTTGCAGTTGAGATCACATTGTAGATATACGAGGCGCATAAAGCTTATCTTTCGATCGAATTTTATAAAAATTGTATTTACGTTCTTTCTCTGTTGTATTTACGCATTTGTTTGATTGCGATGTGTTATCATAATTTTACATCAACAATATGTTATGATGCTAGCTTAACGATTAAGCAAAGAAACGAGAAATATAGATTTACATCTCGCATAGCATCTAGAATCATCAAACGTGAATGTGACGTTGATTGGTAATCATCTCTGCTCCGCAGACAGATGCGAATTTCTCATTAGCGGAGATCGACGATTCGGAAACTCATGCTTGCTAGATCGAACTGACGAAGACGTCGATTTCCTCTGAGCATGGAGTTACAAGCGCGTCCCTTCAATGTGGAGACTATGCTGTTCAAGGCAAGGAGAAGGCAAGTTAAGAAGCTGCGTGGTGCAAACTCGCCTCTCTATACATCCATTTGGCCGATGGTCCATGTCGTGCGAATGTTCGGTTTCGCTCCTTATGACTTCTCGCAGGATCGTCTGGTGCCATCGAATGGATACTTAATCTTCTCGGCTATCGCCGCTTCGCTCTATAGCTATGCAATATACGTGATTATCGAAAAGTTCATGAACATCGAGAGAGAGACGGAGGTTCTTGAAGGAACGGAGAATACAAAGGTAAAAAATTATTCGCGATAGAATAAGAAATTACTCTTAATACAGGCAGTTATATAGATGGATCAAGGATTTTCCTATCAAATTTTTTAGGAAAAGCATAGTATGCATATTAATTTTTCACATCAAAAAGTTAAAAGATTCTTAAACTTTTGAATCGATAATTGGCTCATTTTTATCGTAAAACTTTTTACTTAAATCTATTTTATTGCTTTATTTTTTTATTGCACGTATTTTTTTAATTAAAATGGAATAATTTTAATTCGTTCCAACATTTTTCTCCCAAATTATTTTGTATGATTTTTTTATTTACTTTTTTAATAAATAAATTTAATTTTAAATTTTTCGATAGAATAGATCTAATCGAGAAGCTAAATTCTGACGCTATTATTTCATCAGCGAAAGCTCGAAATAACCGAAAATAATTGTTCAGGTGATCATCAACTATAGCGTGGTGATATACGAGTTGGGCTTGGCAGTGTTCACTAGACACAGTTTCACCAAGACCTGGAACGCGCTTCAGGATTACGACGACAGCGTCAGACAGCTTGGTTTTCCTCGCAAGGAGACGCAGACGGCGATCTACGCGTGGATCCTCACTATCTTGACCACGGCCGTGTGGACTCTCGTCAATCGTTCTGGAATGTACGCTTTTCTCGAATCATGGCTTGAGAACATGGGATATATGTTGTCGTACATCGGCACTTCGATGGCTGTCTTTAAGTTCGCGGCGGTGATCCTGTTTTTGGGACAACGATTTCATCATCTCAATACGATCGCGATGAGAAATCTGCCGTCGATGTCGGCGGGCGAAAGCACCACCGTTATTAGCAGAAAGGTTCGTGATATATGATATCCTTCGCGTAATCTCATTTGAAAAGTCTCTTCAACATTAATTTAATAGTATGATATAATAATGTAGAATTTTTTGTCTACATTAATATAACCGACTTTTAATTAAACGCGACTTTTCATATTAGTGGTGCTTTCTTTTGGTTACTTCAGTATTTTATACGAGCAGTTTTGTACTTGTAATAATGGTCTTCATATTTACATTTACAAAAGACGATTCTAAGTCTGCATAATGATCTGATGATCGCCGCGGAGAACTTCGAGGCGGTGAATTCATGGTCGCTGCTTCTCTGGCTCGGTAATCTCTGCCTGCACACCGTTAGCAACATATACTTCATAATCGAATGGATACTCAAGAAGTGGGACATGATGGCATGGCCGCTGATTCGTTGCTTAAGCGTCTGGGTGATGGCGTTCGTCTTCCAGCTTCTATTACTTCATATCGCCTGCGACTTTGCCTCATCTCAAGTAAGACTTTCCCGCCGAGATGCAAAGTAGAAGGTCCTTTACATTTAGATTGTTCTTCGCCGTATCGAGATAATAACGCGATCAGAATTTATAATTAGAGGGACACGCTCTTGAGCTCTTGAGTATATGTTGTATGAAATTATAGCAGCTATATTGTTGGCATATATAAATAATTGTAAAAAGCGCTCTCCTTATTATTTGACATTGTCAACGAAACACAATTATTCAACAGAAAATTTGTAATTTGTTCCAGGCTAATTGTATGGGTCCGATTCTTATCGAGTGGCAAGTAAGATTGATGAAGAAAAAAGAAGTAAGTAGATAAAGCCGTTCTCGTTTCATTGGCGGACTTCTCTTGCCGATATTTTTCGATAGAAATCATGCCAAGTCTTTCACGAATATAATTTATTTTCCTCATAACAACGTCATTCATTTCTTGCCGTACAATGCTGTCTTTGTTGTATTTACATATAGCAACGATTTTAATACGACTGCAGTCTACATAAAGACTTTTCTTCGAATACAGGAATGCGCCGAGTCGTTGTTGCAATTCATAAATCGAAAGCTCAACTTTTCCGCTGGCGGATGCTTTTACGTGAACTTGCCGTTATTACGTTCGGTGAGTAATGAAAAACGAGAGTGACGCAAAGGACGCTAAATTTTAATTACGTCTCTCTCTCCCTCTCTTTCGAATTTTATATATTAATTCTATATTTTAATATATATCAATTTTGTATTCTCTTGTTTCAATACCTGTTTAATTTCCAATCACGTAATATTTATATTTATATTTATCCCAAAATGTTTCTTTCATTGTGCGGATTACGAAGGGATTTTCATTAAACGAATTATACCTCGAATGCTCCACTTCCTATTCATGCAGAATAATCGCGAGCACGTAACAATTAATTCTGTAATTCGTTGGGCGCAAACTTTAATTAAGCAAAATTTACACTTTGAATGAATGGCGCATGCATGTAGACACGCGAAAAAATTAAAGTAATCAATAACGATAAACGCTTTGCAAAATTAAGACTTATTCCTGTGAAAATGATACGTAAACATAAATCAACGAATCCGAATTTCAAAATCGCTAAATTATCCAGATAGTTTCGTGGAAAATTAAACACGTTTCTCGCCGCGATGTTATCACCAGAGACTGTACGATTTAAAGAGGAACGTGTGCAATCTCATATTCTCAACGCGTCGACCAAAATCGAGATAATTAAAGCAGAAACATTGCAAGTCAAATTTATCAGATGTAACATTTCATTGAAACATAAATACAATATGACAATACAAATAATAGGTATATAAAAAACGCAGAATAAAAATGAATAATGTAAAAGTATGTAAAAGTCTGCATCAAAATGTACGTGCAAATTAACGATTAAATTAAAAAATGTAATCTAAAGTAACGGATATTTGATAAAACTCTACTCTTTGCATAAACATCTTTGTTGACCGCTACACATTTCCGGAAGAAAGTACTTGAGTTATTTTTCGATTCAATCTAATAAATATTGAATATTTAATACAAGCAATTAAGTTGAAAACAAAAATTATTAATTATTCATAAATAGGTAATCGACGTTATAAAGCAATAAGAGAAATCTTACATGCCAAAAACGATGTTATAATTAGATTGATCGTTTTTATATTGCAAACTACTCGATCGAGCTCAGTTCGATATAACGTAATGAAGACAAAGGTTAATTGACTTCGATACGGTGTCCCAGCGGAATGTGTGGTAACGTAAATGCCACCGTGTAAACGCGTCCGTAAATCGCATACTCGAAACGCGCCCTTCAATTTCGCGTTTCGGTTCCGTAAACCGAGCAATCTCGTGTGCACTCGAAACACCACGATCCTCTAGTTTCGGTGTTTCGACAAAATTTTATAACTGTAGCACAGTTGTACAAATACACATTTCGAGAGTATCTGCGCAACCTTCCTTGAAACTCCCACAATAGTTTCTTACTTAACGCAAAGTCCCGATTCTCTTGCGAAGAGATAGATCGCGTTAGATTACCAGAACTTCGTGTTTAAACCTTAACTATGTGTTCTATGTGTCTCATTTGAAATGCTTAATAATGTTTCATATTATCATTTCTAAAATAAAAAAGAAGAAAATATTACGTTAAGATTTAATTTTTTAAATCGTATAGATTTTATGTTAATTGTATTAATTAGTTGATAAGTAAATTTATAATTCGCACGGTTTTGTTCTTATTTAAACACGTCAAACTATTCTTCTGAAATTTAGTAGGTATTCGATACTAGATATTGAGAAGTCATCATGTGATTAATGTTATTTCCAGATAGCCGCTCTGTTGACCACATATCTAGTTATACTACTGCAGCTACCGGACTGAGAGTGCGTCGGAAATAAAAGCAAGGTATTACAAGATATGAGGTCGTATCTCACGACTGTAAATTTTGAAGTATATTCGGCCACATCCAGCAAAAAATCGATGTGTTAGAAATATGTGTTTTGTAATAACATCAATAATAATCCTTAAATATTTAATTTTGTAATAAAATCAATTTGTAGAGAAATCACATATAATACGAAAATAATGTACAATAATATATAATATGTACATATATTTAGTATCATATTTTCACCAAATATAATTAAAAAATTGAAAATTATTTGCGCTACAATATAACGTTCGCTTCATCACGTGCAGTTGTCGATAAATTTCCTTACATTCTCTTCATTATCATTTAAAATCTCAAATTCAATTGAATCTTGTTAAATCTTCTCGTATCCGATAATTTCAGGAAAACATGCTTGTTCCGCCCGACTACATCTGCTTTAAACTACTTTCCTTCAGCTAGTAGTAGCGTGATTGTCTGCGGTAGCGGCGAAGTTGCGCGCAGCAACATTTACATACCAATTGGGCCCATCAGTGATTACAGTAGACTCTTTCAAATTTTGCGAAAGAAGCCGTCTCTTCTGGAATGCAGTTTTGTAAAAGCAAACGCCACTTTAAAACTACTGCAGTTAAAACAATCGTAATAATAGACTCGTAATTGAGTAAATAAATGTAGAAAAAAGCGTCAATAAAATTTCAATTTAAAAAGATTCTGATTGATCAAACGAAAATATATGGCTGTACATAGATTTTGTAATTTGCAAGTTTGTGAATAATTTATAAGTGAATCTTATGTTTCACAAAATTACTCAATCGCGCTATATACAAAGTGTCTTTCCAAGCCTTCACATTTAATAACTATTGCCTCGACCTTTTAATCGTTAGTTAAAATTTCATAAAATGATTTCAAAAATCTGCCATTAACGGGCAATATATTTTTATCTAAAATATCCAATATAACAAATTTTATAAAATTATCGCTTACTTCATGTTTGCATGTTACTGCGCCATGCTCCAAGCTAACGCAAAGAAAATTAACAATTTCATAAATTACGAAACGGTGTTGCGAGAAACTGACGACGTAGTTCGCCTCTAGCAAGCATGTTCAATCTTGCACGGACTATTTATTATCAATTTATCCATCGAACGGGAAAATTGTTTAATATAACTTTGCAATGCGGTCACTTGAATTGCAATTTTCAAACGTATATGATGACACAAAATTATTGTCATTCTCATAAACTATAAATAAAATAAAGAACATGAAATTTTGTAAGAGAGAATTTCCCTTTGTTTCGTTAAACTTTTTTTTTAACAAGACATATTGAGTTCAATTTCCTGAATGTCAAACTGCAACCATAATCATAATCGTCCATGCGGCAAATTTAGTTTTCGCGAAATGCAAACTTCAGCCGTTTCGTAAAAACACAGTATCTGCGTTTCGTGGAACTTCTTTCTTTAATGAAAGATCGTTTATGACGCTCGAAGAATTTTCTGGTATAATTCAGACATGCTAAAACTTCTATTAGAATGTTCCAAAGAAAGTTCAGGAAAAACGTCTCTGATAGCGTTCGCAATTTTTTTGATAAATGCATTTCGAAAATACCACTCAAAGTATTCGACAAAGATTGAAAATTGTAATTTCTTTTCTGACTAATGCGAGAACTGTCTAGAATAGAATTGTTTAACTCTCTTTCTCACATATTTCTCCTAATAGTATAATCTGACACCGATAAAAGTATTCCCGTAAGTATTAAATTATCATAGCTATTTTACGTCTATCTCCCTCGTGTGTAACAAAGTGTCCATTTCATTTTGGCATACATAAACCGCAAATAGTAAAGAGAGCTTTATGTTACGATCACCACAAACTGTCACATGCCACTTTATAAAGCTGGCGAACTGGATTTACTGGTAAAGCGTCTCAGTGTCGCTGGTCCCCGCTGCTATCGACACATTTTATTAGTTTATGTCGAGAGTAACATGAACCGGAACAACTTCGCTACCCGCGGATGTGAAGACGTCGATCGACATGCGTTGTTTTCGAACGGCAAAGGTCCGGACATTGACAAATAACAGGGTGGGTTGCTCGGACGTTAAAAGCGAGAAGAGGGATGCTGGAATGTCAGGAATTCCCGATTTCGATAACGTTCCCTTCTCTCTTCCGCATTGTTGCAGTATTTATCAATACGCTTTCCGATTATAAAAATATCTCTTAAAATTTTAAAATAAATAATGCTTTTTTTCTAAAAAATGAGAGTAAAGATATTGGTTTGTAAAATGGAGAAAAGAGAAGAATATTGTTGAAACATTAAAGTAGGAAAAATCTGTCAATCTAAAATATTTAGAAAATATTCTCCTTTATATTTCATGTCAGTGCAACGCATGATACATATTTCGCCAAATTTGATAAGTTTGCAAGGCGTAAAGCAGAGAGAACTTGACATTGACGAATAATATTTGAATTTTTGTAGAACTTCAGCGAAGTGGAAAAACACGTAAGCTCTGCATTAGCTCATATTCTTCTCTATATTCCACCTCGATGTAAACTTCGTAAATTTTAATGATTTGCATCACAAGTTGCAAAGCCAGAAAGACTTAAAATATAATTCACTTGGATAATAGAGAGTATAATGATCTCATATTAAATTAGAAAAGGTAGATATATCAAAAGGCGAATACGAAAGCATAATTATGCTACTTTTGTCAAGGGAAAATTCACTGAGCTGATTTTAATATCAAAAACGTGTGACACCACGCAGCTCGGTGAGTTCTATTTCGAATAATATTCTCGTCGTCTACGTAGCTGTAGAATGTAGCTTTGATCTAAATTTTACCAGTTTACGTCGTAAACTGCGGAGTAACGAAGACGCGAACCACTGCAAAGGAACTCAAATTACCGCCCACTATTCTGTGTAGAAAGACATTACAATTCGATGTCGTCAAAAAAATTTATCGTTATGTTTCGCGTTTTGTTAAAACTACACTTAGATCTCTCAAACTATATTAAAAGCTTTGAATATCTCTATTTCAGAAAATATATTCTATTTTACCTTTCATAAAAATATAATAGTAAAAGTTAATATCCAATATTCTCATATCAATATCCAATATCCTTGAATATGTCGTTAAAGAATATTATTTTAAAGCAATATGATAGCTTGATAAAAACTGTAAGATAAAAACTGTAAGATGCAAACGAAGCGGTTTGCATCTTACAATTACGAATTTAGGTGTAGCCTCTTTCCGACAGGCTCTCTGCGCTACTCAATTTGCATAGTATTGCTTGCTGCCGGGTGATCGCTCGAAACTAAGCGATCATGCAAAAGTTTTAAGGAAAGGAAGGCGACACGAATTCTAATCATACTATAAAAATCTATCTGGTTTTACTTAAATAATAATTAAAAATAAAATCAATATTTTACTATGATTTAGTAGTTTCTATAAGCATTTGCTCATTGAAAAATGAAATAAATTACTGTTTTATATGTACATTATATTACTATTTTATACTATATTTTAAATAAAATGTTTCTTTCTTATAGACATGTTATACTGAAACAGCAATCTATTATCTGTATTTTGCATCATACATAACTCTCACACACACAAACAAAAATTTTAATTATTATTATTATTCTCTCACTTCAATAACGGTCGGAAGAATCTTTGATAACGTCTCAATTTTCTCTTTGTAAAAATATTTACTAAATGAAAGAGAGATATAAAAAATTAGAAACAATGATAAGATGTAAAACATACCGTAATATTAAAAAGAAAATATTAAAAAATATATGTGTATGTATGTTTTTTCAAAAGAGAGGAGAAATAATATTCCGGTTCCTCCTTGTAAAAGTGCACTTTCGCAAAGAAGCGAGCACATATAGCTGTGCGAAAAGCGGACTGTAATAATTCATGTCCTCGGGGATTATATTTTCACTGACTATTTGAACACTTTCCAGATATCGTGTGCATTCAACCCTATTATCCTTACTGTACCGAAATATTCAAAATGTAGTGTGGTATTTTTCTAAATTTTCTTTAATAATAATATTTTACGCTGAGTTTAACGTGCAATAATATTAAAATATTTAGTCAAACTCATCTCTTCAAGAATCCGAGAAACAAAATTACGCCACCTACTTGACACATTTTCCTACTTGCTCTCCAGAATGCATACCTGAACAGCGACTTTCAATTCCGGTGGTTTTTTTTCGCAAAAAAATGTGTCAACGGTGACACTTCGTTGGGAACGACGATGTTACGAGTCACGAGAAACGGCCGTTGCCGAGAAACGGGGAAAACAAGATCTTCGTCGTCGGCAGTCGTCGGCAATGTTACTACAGCGGCATTGCATCTATTTTCCACCCCATCGCTCCGGAAAATTGCGCCTTTCGTCGGTTCGCGCCGATGCTATTCTCTCCGCAGCAGATGCACGCGAATTCTTTTCAATGTTCATTGCACGCGTTGCACGGTTCAAAACGATAGCACGACATAGAAGACGGAAAATTATTATAACTTAGACAACAAAGCAATTTCCGACCTTTGAAATACTTACGTCAGAAAAAAAAATTTTAATTTACGGAAAACCAATCTATAAAATATTTCATTAAAAAATAGAATTTTGATAGAAAATTAAATCATTATAATAAAGTTTCGATTGTGATAGTCTCTTAAACTAATGAAAATACACAAGTTTTTTATATTAGAGCAACTTGTGTTAATTTAAGTTAAGATACTTGAGAAACATTTTGTTTCACGATAATACAATTATGTTTCCAAATAAAAATTTAATACTAATTTAATAATAAAAACATATCGGGTTTATTTTATTTATATTTTACAGAATATAGATAAAACAATACTCTATATCTTATTTGCTTTAATATTGGTTTTTCATTTTGATATGTTGAAATATCGTAAAAGTTCCGCGATATTAAAATAAATGCTTCGATCGGACTTCAAATTGGTCAAGGAATCCATAGAAGAAAATGTCTCTGAAGGACGCTTTATATGTATGCGCGTGGGCGAGTTTCTATGGATGTATGTACTTACGTCATTGCGTATTTTCCAGTGTGGGCAGACGCCACTACCTACGTCACTGAGAGATGGTCCTGCGGTGATTGGTAAACCTGAAAAAAAAAACAACAATCAAAACTAAAAATTTTATTTATAGAAAAAAGGACGCTATATAATATATATATAATAATTAATTAATTAATTTGCAAACAATTAATACTTGCATATCTTCTGCTTTGTATTCTACATGAACCAGTATTTCAGGATTTTCGTAAAACATATCAAAACGTTATTCTATTGCAATAATTTAATTAAATTTTTTGAAAAGCAATTGTCGTAAACAAAATTTATCTTGTAATTCAGAAATGACACACGTGAAAATTAAAATAGGCAAACAAAAATTAAAAAAATGGAAATGTAACAATTTTCAGTGAAATCCTGATTTTGAAGATTGAAAATATAACCATTCAATGAATTCCCGTGAATCGTTTTCAATTCATCAATTTTTGCGAGCAATAGTTCGACGATAGTTCATATATATCACGAAAGGCTTAATAAATTTGGTATACGAGGATTAAATTAAATGCCGAGGACGAAGTATGAAGTACGACAAACTCAACGTGGTTTTGACGATTAATTGAATTTCAGGAGGATAGATAGAGAATAATGAAATTCCGGAGTTCGTCACCCGTCACTGATACTACTCGACAGCGGTAACTGTCAGCTTATGCGAACGACGAAAGTTACAATTAACATGATAATACACGAGCAATTATAAACTCCCAGACCTATAAATCTAACGCTGCAGCGACAAATAATTATCGTAATTGTGATAATTAATTAACATTATTAACATTATTAAAAATTAATCTCAAGTAGACTTAACTAATTTATTTAAACAATGGATTCTAAAAATTTCAA